GTTAGTCTTCTAACCTTCAAATAATTCTAAGACAGCACTAAGCTATCCTTCTCTTACAACTCAAGATTGGCCGATAATAATTTCCATGTCATTGAAACTGCCTTGTGCAAGAGCTCTATAGTCAGTTCTTCACATCAGGAAGACTCAACTGTGACCCTGAAGAGTAGAAGTGACTGCTTTCAGACCTCTTTTTCTCAGTAAGAGGTTAATGTCAAAGTCCTTTCTGTCATTTGAGTTAATATATTTCAGCTTGTGGGGAGGCTGTCGAGTGGAAGGGAGTATGTGCGTTAGTGTTCATAAACCCCTGGGTGGTCCTGTATATCAGCCACAGCAGGATGGAACAGGCTGTAACCATCGCTAAGATGTGGCTTAAGCTTTGTGTGTTTCTGTATATGTGTGTGTGCAATATATACTTGTCATCGTGTTAAGCTCTTTGCTATGCTGCTGTTGTAAATGCCATGATTACAGTATATGGCAGCACCAAGGAGCCACCTCACCATCAATGTACTCTGCCTACACTGGCACAATCGATGATTTCACAGCCCTCAAGTATCTCGTTTCACAGTTCAGGTTTTCCCATATGGGGATCAGAGAGATGCTTTAGCCCTGTTATATGCTGTTAGCTGCTGAGCTGCTGCCTGGTGATGTGACACTGGTATTCTGCTAGGCCCGTATCCCAGCCAGCTTTTATTTGGTAGAGGGAGAACATTGTGTTTTGTCCCATTCAGCTGCTTTGTAATATTTTTTTTCAATTCTTCTGGGTGTCACAGCTGGTTATTTTTCCTTTTTTTTCATGGTGTCACTCTGACTTGGCACATTTCTCAACAATTCATAGTGTCAATGGACATGTGCTGGTGTTGTTTTTCACAGGAAGTGACGTCACCATGAACATTGCCGCCCACATTGCTAAATACACTCCAAGGGCATGTCGCATGGCAACCATAAAGTGTCATTGTCAAGAGGATTTGTGAAATGTAATATCATCCAGAGGGGGCAGGGACGCTAGAAAGAAGGGACATCTCATCAGCACAGTGCCGCTGGAAGAATCTGCTGTTCTCTACTTTACCCATTTATGTAATGTAACGTGTGTGTTTGAGCATTGGTTGGTCCTGGAGTGTCTTTGATACAAAATACCGCTTAGTCTGTATCATCTCGCTCTGTTTGTTCCTAGTAAGGCCTTGTTTTGATGGGATCTGCATTGTTTACCAGATGTGGTAACTGGTCAAGTAAGTTAGACAAGCCTAACGTGTCTGAAAGTGTCTAACAGTTTTAAGGGAATTCAACGAACCGGTGTATTTGTTTTTGTATTTTAACAAGAGAAGCGTGTAGAGGAGCAACAACAATATACAGGTCTTTCAGCTGTCTGTTCTCAGTGGGTCCCTGTTACATCCACAATATATACCTATGTCATTTAGTACATGGATTAGGGTCAGGGTATGTGGAAACTTAAACCACTTAAACCAAGACTAAGAAATTGTCAGTCTCCATTTCTGAATGGGAAGCCAGTCAACACTACAATCAACTGAGCAGTAAACGGATCTTAAAGTTGGACAAAAGCTGGACTGAAAAAAAATCCTCTGTTTGTTTTGTTTACGGCATTGTACTGTATTTCAGAAAATACAGTTTAGTGGTTGTTTGTTGTGGTGTTGTGGTTATTACTTTGCTGCATCTCCACACTGTAGAGTGATTTATACGACAGAGACAGAAAATGAAAGAGCATCTCAGTCAGACGTCTCTTTGTCACCATCTGTTGACATCTGCGTATGTCAGATTATGATGGAAGTAAGCCAGAACGCTACCACAAGGAGCACTTAAAGAAACAAAATTAGGAGGCTTCTAGACATGCTGCTCCTGCATTATACATGGAATCATTTTGAAAAATATGCAGTCTTTCTTTAAAATGGTTGACTTGTGTTAGCAGGTAACAGGTTGGCTTGCTGTCCCTAATAGGACCTACATGTTGCTCTACAGACTGACCTCCTGTCAAGTGGGGCCACTTGGTATCTGAAGAGCTGACTGTCTGACAGAATGAATGTTTGCTAACGAGAAGATATTGGCAAGCACAGGAATCTTTGTTCACACTCTATGAATCTCTAATGTAATCTCATGTGAACAAGCCCTACAGGGACATCCTTCTCACTAGAGACATACCTGCTCCTGCAGCAGTCTGTCAGGGTAGGCCTTTGATTTTGTGTGTGTGGAGCACAGAGCATGTTTGTCTTTGTGGGAAGGCTTTGCAGGTTTGTTGTGTGTATGGAAACGTGTTGGGAGAGTGAGAGAATGAAGATGCTGTCGTATGTCAGTATGATAGCAGTGTGTTTATTTTTTATTTTTTTCCCCCCCATTAACATCACGCCAAGCCAGAGATTTGGCGCCTGTGGCTTCCAAGAGATAGTACATGCGGAGAGGCGCAAGATAGGAAGTGTGTGCATATGTGGTGAGAAAATATATGGGGAAAGGTCACAGGAATAATATGTGACTGTGTGTGAAAGAGAGAGGAGAGTTAGAGGATGAAGCACTGGTGAAAAGTGGAAGCATGCGTCTATTCATTGTGCAATCTGCTGCTATCTGGGCTCCAGATATCATCACATCCCACCAGTCTGTTTTGGTAATTGTACATTAAGCCTTGGTGAGAACTTCAACACTCACAACTAGCAGTGGTAGCTTAAAGGGAAAAATATTGCCAAATGATGTCTGTTTGAATCCGCAGACTAGGTGGGTGCTTCAGCAAAGCACTGAATTCTGTCTTTATAAACTGAGGCAGCTCCCACTGTGTGCATGTTAACACATATATAAGCATTTCCCACCATACTTCAGCTGGTCCCCAATCTGTTATTGCATGTATGATGGGGTCAAAAATAACGTGCTGACAGCTGTACAGAGAGAGATTCATAGAATATTGGCTACTGCTGCAAATGCATTTACTGTTTACGTGCTGCAGTGCAGCAGATGCTAATCTGTGAACTCCTGTTTCACTCCATCTTGCACACTGGTGCAAACCTGCAGGGGGCTACGCACGTGTAGTTGTACCCTTTTTTTTCTCTGCACGATCAACGACGTGCTGTTAATTTTTCTGCCTTGGTCTCTGTGTAAGCCTCTTTTTAATGTCTGTGTGACGACACTGGCTCATCCTTGTCTTATAATCCACGAGACAGTCCCTCACCCCAGCAGTTCATTATCATTCACTAAAAGGCAGTTAAAGGAACACCTCAACCCCCCAGATTTATCATTTGTATTTCAATTACTCTCCCTGTGTCACCTAGAATTTGTGAAAAATTGTATTTCTTACATGCCTCCACGGTGAGTGAAAAATTCAGGAATTTAGAAAAGGTCTTGATGAATTGAAGTAAATGGGGAAGACGTGAACAACAGCAAAACTGAATCAAAACATACATTTACAAACTCTCACAGAATTTGTGCAGTATAATCCAAGTCTCATTTATCCAGTTGTGTGCTCAGTACTTCCAAACACATGCACTTTTTTCTAAGACGTAAGCATAAAAAGTGTCATGCACGGCCTGGGCAAGTGCGTGCATTTAACCTCTGCTCGTACATTCCATTGAAATCCTGCCTACCAGCGTGTTCATTGGGCAGGAGGTGACAGGTGTGAGCGAGTGACAGCAGAGCTCCTCACCAATAAATGAGCTGTGAGGTGAGATTGGATTATACTGCACGAATAGTGTACGAGTTTGCAAACTGATGTTTTGATATAGTCTTGCTGTTGTTAAACATGGCTCCTATTTATTTCAGTTCATCAAAAATGATCTCAGATTTTTAAATCTTCATTGACCGTGGAGGTATAAATTTTCTTCACAAATTGAAGGTAACATGGGGGTGAGTAACTGATAAACAAATGATCATTTTGGGGGTGAAGTATCCCTATAACTGTCTTAAACTCAACTTCACGTGTTTATTCTGACATTTCTTTTTTACTGTGAAATACAATAGTAGTATTTGCATTGAAAGAGTACATTTAAAGGAGCAGTGTGAGGGATTTAGGGGGACATATTGACAGAAATGGAATAAAATATAGGATGGATCTTTTATTTAGTGTATAGTGACCTGAAATAATGAATTGTTGTGTTCTCCTCACCTTAGAATGAGCTGCCATGTTTCTACGGTAGCCCAGAACGGCCAAACCAAAATGGCCACATATAGGGGCCGTTCACTTTTTTGCATGCAAACAAGCCCCAGGCAACAAGCAGCACCAGAGTTTCACTGATTTGTAATGTGGAATGGCTTTATTCAGTGTTTCTAGCTGTTTACATCTGCTGGTCCGTTTTTTTTGGAGAGGAAGAGACCTCTGCAGATAAGTCGGCTCCTGATAAAATCCTCCCAAACAATGAACACTGAAGGAATCTTAGGTGGGAGAAGGTTTAGCTGGTTGCAGTCTGCAGTTCATCACTAGATGCAACCAGATCCCCCTAATTCTTATACACTTCACCTTTGAAATATTTGTTGTCTCTTTCATATCTCTTGTTCCTTAAAGGATAGGTTCACTTTTTTCAAGTCCATCTCAAAGCAATAGTCACATGCCCATATGTACATCAATGAGGTTACTGGCTGCTGTAGTTCCTCCTGTTCTTACTGGCCACAATGAGCTGAAAGAAATGAACAGTGTAATTCTCCCGTGACACTGACACAGTAAATGCCATGCTGTAATAGAATTATGTAGGCCTTCATAACACATGCTTGAGTTAACTGGATTGAAGATATTTTTATTGTTGTTTGATTTATTTTAGAACTGATATGAATACTGACGTCATTTGGGGTTGAATTTACTTTGATTCTGATTATACTTGAGAATTCATTTTTATACCAGTCAAATGCCCAAAGACTGTGTTGACAAATGCCTTAAAGAAACAGCTCATAGTTGGTGATCAACTGCATGGACAAAATACTCCTGTTAACAACAATGCAGTGCACATTACGATACTTAATTAGAGCAGTTACTCTGGCCTTCATCTCATGTATTCACAGTGTGCTCTTTCCTCTCACAGGAAAATTGTCATCAAGATTGGGAAGAAGAAAAAGCGAAAGCCGGAGTCTTCAGAGGAGTCGGATGATGACCCTCCCCCTCGACACAGTTCTAAAGATGACGACTCTGTAAGATCCAGCGCATACACACACTCGCAAACTGACATATAAACCTACAGTACAAGTCACTATTATTGTAACTGGGGCTGTAATGCTTGGGAATACTCGGAGTGTATTTTCATCCCACTTTATCATATTAAAACACTAATCCTAAACTGTAAGATAACACTTGGGTTTTCAGTGGGAATTTGCCTTCTTTTGTTTTTTTAACTTCCTACCTTATTTAGATGAGGTGTTGATGCCATTACAGTCACACCTCTGCTAAAAGAAAACAATCTGGATTCTCTTCTGTTGCGATTCTGATGCAGCGTATTGAGTGAAGTGGTGTCTTCAGTCTGACTGTTGACACTGCTGCTGAGCCTGGAGGAAGGCTTCACAGTTTTCATTTGAGCCCGGGAGTATTGACACTGTGGTTCACGTGGGGGTCACGCACTGGGTGGCTATCTCCAGTACACGTCCTTATCTGTGGTGATAATGGATATATGACAGAGGCGTCATCAACACAGCATTATCTAGGTCAAAGCACCAACAATAGCACCTTCATGTTTGCATGCACACACCTAAATTTAACAGCTATTCATCTGAAGGGAAATGTCGCCGCAAACAACCAGTGATGTTGAAATCCTCCAGGGATATTTTGTTTGTTTGATAACGTAACACTTAGCTAAATTAAATTATCACATACTTTCTATTTCAAATCCAGAGTGGTGATCTTATTTTCCACTTAAGAGAAGGTACTGCTGTGGAAAATTAGTGATTGCTCACCTGAGGTTGAGATTATTAAAAAAAAAATACCAGGGGGAGGGTATCCAGTACTCCCTAATGAAATTCTCTAAGATGTACACTGGCTGTTTTCTGTGTGATCTGATTAACGATGACAATTGAAGCAGGTGACACTTATCTTTTGTTCTAGCACAGTCCTGTGCTGCTTTGCTCACTGCTAAGTCATGACAGATATCTGCTATGTTAAGAGTGGCATGTCTGAATGAGTGAGGATGACAAGTGACTTTGTCTCCTCCTTCGCCCCACCACCCCTCTCCCTTTCTCTCCTTTTTGCCTCCTATCCGGACTATTGCCTTTGATATAATTACGCTCGTTAAATGGCGCCCCTGGCCTTAATTAAAACAGTCTGTTGATGACTCATTTAGGATGATCCTGTGGAAGGAGTCAAAGTAGCATGGCTGACAGCTAGAAAAGAAGCATGGCCACCCCAGGGGTTCAGCCCCATTGTGGTGGCATGTGGCAGGTTTGACTTTCCAGCTTCTGGTCAGCTTGGCTTTGGGGATGTGAGGGTATATCTCCACGGGGATATTATACTCCACACCTAATTAACTTTGGCTCAGTGGCATTTATTCCTAATTAACTACATATTATCATTAGGAGGGGCTCGTGTATTGATGCAGGATACAGCAGCCCACGCATATGATAATTATAAAGGCTTGACAGGAAGGAATAGAAAGAGCTGAATTTTGGAGCACTCTTGTTTTGTGTGGGGGTTTCTGACTTTAAGTCATAATATTTTTTCTGAATTTCTTCCTTGGTTTGTTGAAATTTCACAAGGTCATTTATGGGTTATGTTTTTCATGACATTTTGGCAGATGGATAACCCATATTATTACCCTTTTCAATATAGGTTGGTGTGATTGAGCCTTGATAATTAATCAGTGATAAATCAATTTGAGGTACAGTCAGTATAACTCTGGTAACGTCAGTGATTCACATGCATTAAATTGTGACATTGATGCTTTTTCTGATGCACAGTAAGATGGTGCTAGTTAACAAGCACACTGGAGAATAAACTAGTTTTGGTTTTTCAGTGGTAAAATTGATGTATGAAGGCATCCAGAGCAGTTGGATATCGTTCTACTTTCACCTCGTCTTTCTTTTCCAGAAGAGGCGATCTAATCGCCAGGTGAAGAGAAAGAAATACGCTGAGGAGCTGGAGGCCAGGTTGTCGGATGATGAGGTCAAGGTTATTGTCAAAGCCAAGAAAACCAACACTGCAGCATCCAAGCAGCCCGCTGTTCAGCTCTTTGTAGTAAGTACTTCTGCCTATAACTTGCTAGTAGCGAAAAAATAGAGTTTAAATTCATTCATTTTTTAGAGGACATGAAAAATATCGCAGCAGAGCGCACAGTAGAGTAAAGTGATTTTCATTGCTCATGAATCTTAGTTATTTTAAGTGTTTGTTGGATTACAAACAAGAATGCATGCAAATGATTGTTTTTTTTCTGTGGAAATGATACAGAAGAATATTTTTGGAAAGAACTTATTTATATACTGCAAAACAAAAGCACATTTTGTAGAAGAACAACAGTACGGCACGCACGGTGAAGTGCAGCACAGCCTGTTCTCTTCACCGACACATTGTGATGTACAAACCAGGACCCCTGCAGTATGCCTGTACAAACAGGACAGATACATATTCAGAGCCTATTTTTAATAATTTAGATGCAACGGCAGAGAAATTAGGATGGGATTATTGTGACGACAGCTCTGCTCAGAAACCGTTTTCCCACAAATATATTGCCCAAAAGTTCCACCCTGGTTTCCGTGGTCTAAATCAGGCACACTTTTTCCAGTTGCTCTGAACAGGTGGAGGCAGTACTAGAGTGGTAAACTCTTTCTCCTTCAGTCAGTTATAGACATGTGAAACAAAGTCACAAATATGCCCCAGGGCTTTAACATATGACGGTCTCTAAACATGGGTCCTCTTTTCAGATGAGCAAGAAACAGACAAAAAGAAGAGGAGAAACCTCAGGAAGAGCTCAGTTGCATGCAGTGTGTGCAGCTTTTATTTCCATTTTGTATTATTACACACTGTGGTGTGTGGTTTTTGTATTAGGAAGTGTCCTGAGGCTTATGCAAATTCCTGCTGTGGGAGACTATACAGCAACACTTGATATTAAATGTATCGTGTCCACTGCATTTGCAGGAGAATCCCAGTGAAGAGGATGCTGCTGTTGTTGACAAAATCATGTCTTCTCGTATGGTCAAGAAGGAGGTAGTGATTTACTGTATTTTCTTTTCCTGCTTTCAAGTGATTGTAACAGATAAATTACCACACAATTAGGTTGGAAGTTGCTATTGCAATCATTTTGCTGGATATTGAGATCTGAATTATTAATCACCACAAATAATGTTGTCAGCACAACATTGTTTCACTTGATATTTATCTGTTATCAACATCTTAAACGTGTGTAATTACATATTATGTCATTTTAAATATCTCTTCAGGTCTCTCCAGGAGTGGTGGTCGAAGGGGAGGAGTTCTTTGTAAAATACAAAAACTAGTAAGTGTATTCATTCAGTCATTCAGTTTATATTTTGTGATTATTTGTGTGTATTATGCCTGTAATCATCCCAGTTTAAGTAAGTGAAAGGATGCTAAATTAGAGCTGTGTGATTACACAAGCATCTCAGGCATGCTTGGGACAGCTTTCAGTATTGCCATGTAAATTTTCCAAAGAGTGATTAAATTTCTCTTCTCTGAACTCGGCATATTAAAAATCCTAGTGAACCATAGGTTTACTACCACAGCCTCCCAGAGAAATAATTTCTTTGCACATGACGGATAATCTTCACCCAGATTGCATTCATTATGTTTTCAGCCTAATGATGAAAAGTATTGAAAAATTGACGTCACATTAGAAATTTGATGAAACCAAATATGACAGAGGAGATCAGCGACTTTCTGAACGTCATGTCTGTGACCAAATCTGCACTCTGTGATCACACCTGCTGGCCTCAGCGGTCGCCCCAGATGCTGTTAGAAGGTGTTTTTCAGGGTTTCTCACCTCAGTCCGAATGTGTGTGTGTGTGTGTGTGTGTCTGTGTTTGTGTGTCAGCTCCTACCTACACTGTGAGTGGGCCACAGAGCAGCAGCTGGAGAAGGACAAGAGGATTCAGCAGAAGATCAAACGTTTCAAGATGAAACAAGCACAGAGGGCACTCTTCTTTGCAGATGTAAGGCTGTGTGGCTGTGTTTTTGTCTGCAGCATATTGTCTTTATGTGCACACTCCATATTTGGGCATTTGTTATGAGCAGGTGTGTGTTTTCACAACGTGGTGTCTCTTAGGACATGTGCGTTTTGGTTAGCGTACATGCATATGAATGCTGTGTGTGGGGATGTTTAATTTACTTTTTGTGTTTGGTCCGTGTGGGCAGGCACATCTGTGTGCATAAATTAGAATCTCTTTACTCGCTCTGTCGATACAGTAGTGATACTTGTCTCAGATTCCAGATGGTGAGTGGGCATTCAGGCTTATTCTCTCCTTTTCTTTCCCTCATGTCTTTCTTTCTGCCGCTCTCAGATGGAAGAGGAGCCCTTTAACCCCGACTATGTAGAGGTAGACAGAGTGCTGGAGGTGTCGTATTGTGAGGACAAAGACACAGGAGAGGTAAAGTGAATTCTCTTTCATTTGTTAATCATATCCGCCAGTAGCTTATTTATTTGTGTCGACGTGCCTGAACATGCGTTTGCTCCTTTTCAGTATTTTTGTGGTTCTTGCTCCTTTCAGTATATTCTCCACTCTAGTGATGTCTTTGTATCTCAGAAGGGCCCAAGGCCATGCTGACGGGCTTCCTCGCAGCCTTTGTTAATATTATAAAAGCAGAGCTTGGCCTCGCTCGAGTCTTTTGCAGCGCTAATTCTCCTCTGCCTGGTGCAGGAGGTGGTGTATTACCTGGTGAAGTGGTGCTCTTTGCCTTACGAGGACAGCACCTGGGAGCTAAAGGACGACGTAGATCAGAGCAAGATTGAAGAGTTTGAGCAGCTGCAGGCAGTGAAGCCAGACTCGCGCAGAGCGGTAAGCCATGCCCGACGACGTTCCTCACTTATCACTTTGTTGCATTTTCCTCTTTTGCCTTCATAATGTATATGCACTGTGTTTGTTTTATTCTGTTGCTGGCATTTGAAAGTGCTAATAAGGGAGTTCCTTGCGAAGGAAAAATGCTTCTTTTCTTATAATGATTTGTTGTAGTGGAATCTTTGAAAATGTGTTTACACTGCACCAACCACCACCCAACATACTACATGGTGAAATTAATAGGCATCATTAGCCAAAAGACCACACTGAAGAGGGAACAAACTGAGGAGACTCAGAAACACCTGCTGCCACTCACTTCAAGAGCACTGAATGATGTGTCTGCTGTAAAAGTAAAAACATGACTTTGTTTTCATCACGAGATATTTCCTCGGTAAGATTAGAGATAAAACTTGAAGAGGAAGAAAAAAAACAAAGGGCTGAAAGAAGATCATGTTTTCAACTGCTACCTATAGCTTCTGCTACATGGAGCAAAAAACATGGTTGTATGTATAGTATATTATAACTGTACAACACGCAGATTCATCATGTTTTTTGTATTGCCCAGGATAATCACACCCACTGAGATTGTTTCTCCTCTTGCCACAGTCACCTTCCCGTCCAACGGGAAGGTTCACACTCTGCAAACCTGTTGTTTTAAATGTGGAGCATTGATATAAATGCATTTAATGCTTGCAGCCGTGCACCTGCAGTATGAGCAGGGTGGCTCAAGTTTGAGATGAATAGTGAGAATGCAAACACCATCACGCCACCGTTTCCTGTATTTCCCTACTTGCCTTGTCTTAAAAAACATCAGCACTCACTGGCTTTCTTCACTTTTCCTAAAATAGTCTCTTTTATTATTGCCATCATCGTGTATGAAATGTAAAGACAGAGTTCATTTCGAAACACTCGTTTTAACACTCCATATAAAATTTGTCACTTAGGAGCGGCCCCCGGCCAATCTGTGGAAGAAGAAGGAGCAGTCGAGGGAATACAGGAATGGTAACAGCCTCAGGGACTACCAGCTAGAGGGGGTCAACTGGCTCCTCTTCAACTGGTACAACAGGTCAGTTTTAAATAGTGTATATGTGTACGTGCACACACCCACAGCCTGTACAAACTGAACCCCCGCCCCCTATAGGGTAACATTTGTTAGTCTATAACTGTTACCCTTCGTGATTTAACATAACAAGACTGAACTTTTATTGAAGCTATATAATAAATTTATATCCAGGTGTAATCAAAAGTACAGCTAGAATCAATGTGATACAGCAGTATAATAAAATGAGGGCAAATAATGGAGGTAACATTGTAATGAGAATGTCGTAGATTGTTATGCCTTTCAAGCAAATGCCCTGGCACAGGGACATGCTGCCACTTTGCATAGGTTCAGTAGCTTCAGTGCACTTCTCAAATGGAAAGACAGATAGTAGATTTAGCATATATCTCACACCTCAAGCAAAATGGCATCTCTTAACATACTGTAAACCTCCAGTAATCCCATGCCGATAGAGTACTACAGTATATTTATTGATTCAGAGATTTTACATAGGCATCATGTATTTCAAGAGGATTCCTCTGGGTGCGTTGGAGCCGCAGATAATGAATAATGAATCACTTTTCCTGGTGTGTGTCTGTGTGTGTGTGTGGACCACGCTGTGATTTGGCTGTATTCACATGATTTGGTTGGGCCTGCGAGGAGAGTCAAATTTCCTGTCAAGGTGCACACTGCTGCAACAACAATTGCTTTTCTGCGCCCACGATCACAAAAGAAGCGGCGCACAGTACATCTGGAGCACAAAGTGTCAGTGTGCTTGCATTAACCCTGGGAATTGGCTTTATGTGTGAGCATGCAGGAGTTTGTGTATGCCTACGCAGAGAGATTCATCAAAAGTAGAGAGCTGCTTAAGAGGCCAGTGGGAATATCTGCACGTTGCAATTAGCATCAAGACATAATACCCCCACCCACTGGACAGCTGAATAAATGGTTTGCTGGAGTACACCACGCAGCAGAGGCAGTTGCATTTGCCATTATGTTGTATCTCATCTCTTTGCTCTGTTATTACTGCTGATGATGTCGTTTTCTCCTCCATTGTTTGCTGTTTATTCTTTTAGTATCATGGGACTTTTTCATTTTTCTTCCTTTCCTCTTGTTGTATTTCTTTAAACAACTTTTTTGTCCCATAATACATTTCTCTTGTTTGCTCTGAATCAGTACAAGAGTTACATGAAACCAAAATGCTCACAGTGAATACACACACACACACACTTTCTCCTGGTGGTATGGAGACACAGCATGTCATAGTTACACTTTTTTCCACACAGTTGTCATTGATTTGTAAATAGTTCATCACCTTTCACTACACTACACATTCACTTTCCTCTGCTGTTCTTACTCTACCCCAATTACGTCTCCACTTTTTCCTCTCCTAACCCTTGTTATCTCCACCTGTCAGACGAAACTGCATCCTGGCAGACGAGATGGGCCTGGGAAAGACCATCCAGTCCATCACATTCCTAGAGGAGATCCACCGTGTGGGCATTAAAGGGCCATTCCTCATCATCGCTCCGCTCTCCACCATCGCCAACTGGGAGCGCGAGTTCCGTACTTGGACCCACCTCAACGTCATCGTCTACCATGGAAGCATGGTCAGCAGGCAGATGCTCCAACAGTATGAGATGTATTTCAGGGACACGCAGGTAAAGGACCAGAGACCTTTTTGCCTTTTTATTTTTACAGCCCTTTTTTTTGAGCGGGTTGTTGGTTCACTGAGCACAAATACTCTTATTACATAAGCATAAATAAAAGATAGAAAAAAAGATCAAATAAAATGAGTTGGCAGCATAAATACAAACATTGTAGTCCCACAACAAAATCAGCACAAGACTGTCAACATATTACACAGGGGTAGTGCAGCACATATAGTACATTACATACCAACCTCAGTATGTTCCTCTCTTAGGGAAAAAAGTTAAACAGCAATAAAAATCTTTTTTATTTGCAAGGTTTAATTTTGAGGCTTCAGACACATGCCTCTCTGTAGCATGTGACCTTCTACCATACTGTCTTCACCATTAAGAGCTTAATATATTAGTATCAAGTAAGTGCACAAAGATTTAAGAGTCCCAAGATTGAAGCCTAAAACCCTGCTAGTGCCCCCTAGAGAGTGCACTCTTCATAATGCATTAATAATGTCTTGTTAGATGCAGCTTGATTTTATACTTGATATTGATTTCATGTTTACAGATGCAGTTGTTAGCAGTACAGCTATTGCTGTTGTATGTTTTAAGGAAGAACACTGCTTTCCTTCCTCCTGTCGTCTGTGTGTTTTGTCACCACACTTGTTATTTTAGCCTGAGAAAAGTCTTACGCCAGGTTCACACTGGATGTGGAAGCGCCCTGATTTGTAAATTGTCATTCACACCAGAAGCGCATTTCACTGCGCCGGCCAGCAAGCGATTCTGCTCTCTGCTCTGTTAAAATCACATGTAGAGCTCTGCCTCTGTCTGATCGTGTGCGTGTGTGATTGTGTGAGTTGGCTGTGTGTGTGTGTGATTGTGTGAGTTGGCTGTGTGTGTGTGTGTGTGTGTGATTGTGTGTGTGTGTGTGTGTGTGTGTGTGTGTGTGTGTGTGTAAGCATGGGATGTATATTCTATCATTTATCATGGTCAGATCATTTATATTATATTTGATACACACTTTATATCGTTAAAAAAAAAAAACAACACATTTTCAGTGTGTTTTCTTGCTAGTTTCGCTCACGGGAAAAATAGACCAGACACTGAAACTATCACTGCAGATTGCGAGCAGGCCAGGGCACTCGGCGCCCCAGCACGTCCACTGTGATCCGCCTAATCGCTTAATATGAGCGCAGAGAGCAAGCGGGCAGCGCTCCACGGAAAATCTGCGCACTTGGCAGCGCTCCTGCGTGCAGTGTGAACCCAGCATTTAGGAGCCGGTCAAGAATCAGTCGTGGATACGCAGCGAGGCATTCAGCTTGTCTCACGTACCTAACAACACAAATGGAATTGTGAGGATTGAGAGGCCGTTAACTCCCTCCTGACACGCCTAATCTTCCCCCTTTAAAGTCTGGCGAGCAGAAAGCGACTTCCCTGTGCTTACCTTCAGAATGGAAAGCACTGATTCACTTCGATTAAAATAATCACAGTGCTGCTCTATAGAGAACAGCAGCACTGTGTCAGCAACATGAAGTCCTGTGAGTAATCTAATGATATGTTTGAAAACAGGAGGCCCGCATACAACAATGGGAGTCGGATATTGAAAAGCGAGGCAGAACGTGATTACCATGTGTAACACAAAGCCTAGATACACTGCAACTCTGTCTAATGCGGCAGACTCACTTAGCACAATGTCTCTGAGCAGAAAACACCTGTAGGAAGAGGAATGTTTCCGGGAAGGGAAAATGTATTTTATGTGACGTTGATAATTCTGTCATTCAGTCATGTCAAAAGGTTCGACAAAGGTTCAGCATCTGTACTCTTAAACAGTGCCACAGATTTTACATAATTTTCTGGAGCCCATGATTTCTTACGGTGTTGGGTAAGAGAGGATTTTTATGAATAAGTGGTTCATAGTACCAACATGGCATATAACAAGATCCAAAGAAGGGCACGTGCCCAACAGTAAGTAGGCTGCTAGGTAGTTAGTGAGCCCTGGGCAGAGGCTTTCTGTGGTTGGCAGGCCATGTGATGTGTCACAACAGGCAGTTAGAAGCTCTTAGTATTCAGACGAACCGTAGGAGGAATTAAGGCAAGCAAGTGCAGAACAGAGCGGAGCCGCCACCAGGCTGTCTCCCAGGCAGCCTGTGATGTCATAGCAGGCCCCCAGGGGATCTCTCTGTCAGCGCTGCTCAGGCATATCAGAGGCTCCTTTACAGCAGTCTGTTGGCTGGCTGGCTGTGGGAGGGGGTTACTGGATAACTGAGTATACCTCGAGGACTGTTGTCAAGGTGATAGATACAAATGGAGTGGCGGGTTGAAGAAAAGCCTCCCCAGACAGATAAACAAACAAATAAACAAACAGCATAAAGACTCACCGGCAGGTGTGCACTAATGTCCTGGTTTTAATGTAGATAGCTTCACGATCAAGAGGTGTGTTTTTAGATTGCCAGCGAAATCTAAAAATAACGTGTGAGCCATGTGTTTGCTGTCAAGGCTGCAAATTAGTAGGTTTGTAATGTTAACAATTAACAGTTACACACACATTATATTCTCTCAGAAAACAGCTTTTTTTTTTTTTTAATGACAGTACCAGAGCGTCTGCGGTCCTTGAAGAGTCTTAAAATGTCTCGAATTCAATATTATGAATATTAGGTCGTCAAAGTAATTAAGAAGTCTTAAATTTGAATTTGTGAGGTTTTAATTGCCTCAAACATTTCATCTAATTTTATTTACCCATCTTTTACGTTTCTTGTCAAAACGAGTCAAACTCTTCTGCATGAAAATACACATTCCTGATGTTACAAATCTTTAAACTACCACTGAACCGAATACTATCTTTTTACTTTAAACTTGCTGTTGGCAAAAAAAAACCTACTCTCCTTTATATTTACCTGCAGCGCTTGAATAAGAAACAGATAATTTGTCCAAAAATCTGTCAGATTTGGCTAAAAAATCTTGAAAAGGTCTTTAAAAGTGTAATGATATCCCTGCGTACACATTCTGCATCAAACACATTCATCAAACTACGAAGGCCAATGAAACAAATGAAATGTATTTCACACACCTCCACTTGTAAAACAGACAGTAGTTTCTTGTGCATGAAACACAAATTCTATCTCTTAAATTTGTGAATAATTGTTTTATAAATGCCTGATAAACCCATTTCAAAGAGTTAATCCTACATCTCTCCCTTTTGTCTTCAGGGCCGTGCGATACGAGGAGCCTACAGGTTCCAGGCCGTTATCACCACGTTTGAGATGATCCTGGGAGGCTGCCCTGAACTCAATGCCATAGAGTGGCGCTGTGTTATTATCGATGAGGCCCACCGCCTCAAGAACAAGAACTGCAAGCTGCTAGAGGGCTTCAAGCTCATGAACCTGGTATATTTCCTGTCAATTTACAGAGAGATAAAGAAACAAAAAACTCTTCAAATGTGTGCATAAGTGCAATGCTCGAAACATTGTCTAGTCCTTGTCATTCTCAACAGTATACTGCTATTCAAGTATGTAGGTATGCTATGAAATAACATGATAGAGAGCATCATTAATAAAGCAGTCATTTTGGACAGTTTGATGTAGTAGTGCTCAACTCATAAATACTAAAACATTGTCTTCTCGTACCTCTTGTTCCCTTCCAGGAGCACAAGGTCCTGCTGACAGGTACTCCTCTCCAGAACACAGTGGAGGAGCTCTTCAGCCTGCTCCACTTCCTGGAGCCGGCACGCTTCCCCTCAGAAAACACCTTTATGCAGGAGTTTGGAGACCTCAAGACTGAGGAGCAGGTGAGCCCGCAGTCACATGGAGAATACGTTTGTGAATAATCTGAATTGATAAAACAGGTCAGAAATCCATGTCACACAATCAAGTCAGATGTTGCCTGAGCCTCTTGTGCCATCCGTTTTTTTTTGTCATCTTAATGTTCAGGATTATTAAAGGGGACTTAAATAAATAAAAGAAGAGTCAAGTTATTGTTTCTTAGAGCTCCACAAGACAGTGTTGCTCAGATACAGTATAAAGATCCTCTTGCTACAGATGGAACCCTTGAAGTGGGGCTTATTCTAACTAGGCCACAGTGACATTTTGTACAACACACTCACACACACACAAAACATATGGTGGATAAAGATAACAGATAATGGAGTATTATGCTCCTCGTTGTCGGACTGTGTTATTGACACAATTGCTCACAAGAAAAAGGCTTTTTACCTCTCCTTCTACACATTGCCGTTTGGCATTTCATTTTTATGCAGAGCCACTAAAGAGATGCTCGAGGAAAGACCATTAAAACATGAAGTGTGGTACTCACACTGAAAGTTAAAATATTTGGAACAGCTCGTACTCAACACGCGGTACTAAATCTAGAAGCTCTTTGTGCTAGTGGGACTGTGAAATCCTTTTCATAGTAGACGCTGCTGGTGCTGTTAAGAGGTGCTTTTTCAACGCATAACATAACTGATGTTAGACGAGGGTCTGTGTGTGTAATAAAAAAGGACACTGGTTGAGGTAAGCTGGCCCACTCTCTGGGACCTAGTAGTAAGTTGTGATGCTGTACTGTACAAACACATGATTTAGAAAATGTGGTTTTGCATCAAATGAAGAAAAAAAAACTGATTTTAAAATTTAACATATCTATATAAAATAATTATTACATATAATAATTACATGCTACACAATACCTCTACAGACAGATATCAATAATATATAAAAATCTGATGTTATAAAATCTTGATACCAAATAGTGTAGATGGGTTTGGTGACTCCTACTTTGATGGAGGGCAGATTATGTGTGTAAGCAAATTGTGTCTCATCTAAGTTGGCTGTAAATGGAAGTAATAAGCAGGCAACTGCTGTTAAGGTTTTATTCTTGGCATTAGCCAACGTTAGGGCAGTCGTCATTTGCATAATGTTAGATGTGCTCCTTTAATGGTTCTTTGCATCTGCATCCATTACAGACATGAAATGCACTTTTCTGCATGAAGTGAAAAATGCCAATATGTAAACTGGATAGGAAACTGAAAGGTTTTGTCTGAGACATTACAATTATATTTTGAAGATAATTGCAGCCTGTATAACCCCATACCTGTGGATAGTAGTATACAATATCCCAAAGCAGTTACATGTGACATGTGATGTGTAACTCTGTTTTAATCTGTCGGCCTACAGGTACAGAAGCTACAGGGCATCCTGAAGCCAATGATGCTGCGGCGGTTGAAGGAGGATGTGGAGAAGAAGTTGGCTCCTAAAGAGGAAACCATCATCGAGGTCGAGCTCACCAACATTCAAAAGAAATACTACCGCGCCATCTTGGAGAAGAACTTCTCTTTCCTGGCTAAAGGAGCTGGCCAGGCTAATATGCCCAACCTGGTCAACACCATGATGGAGCTGAGAAAGTGCTGCAACCACCCCTACCTCATCAAAGGTAGGATGGTACCTTTTTAAATATAGGTTAATATAGATAAAGGAAGTTGAAATTTATAGTTGTGTTGGCTGTCTAAGTCAGCCATGGAGATCTTAAGAGATTTAGTAGATACTGCATATGCACTGCAAGTGTTTTGTTACCTCTTTAATTAAACCACAGTGACACTGATGCAAATCTTGAGTCCATTCTTTAGTATATACTCCTGAAATTATAATATACACACTACATGTTACACAGGCATCCTAATTGTTGACATTCAGAGACAGGAAAAGCATGCATTAAATGAGTGATTTTTAAGTTGTTTTTACACACCTGCTCCATCAACAAAAGGAGTGAAGCCCTGATCTTCATGAGTGGACATTAAGATGTAGAAAATAATATGAGAAGCATGAAAGATACATTGTTGCTAATGCATACATGTCTTTGCTATGTCAGGGGCAGAAGAGAAGATCCTAGAGGACTTCAGGGAGGTGTATAGCCCCACTGCCATCGACTTTCACCTGCAGGCTATGGTGCAGTCTGCCGGGAAGCTGGTCCTCATTGACAAACTGTTGCCCAAGATGAAGGCCGGAGGGCACAAGGTGCTCATCTTCTCTCAGATGGTGCGCTGCCTGGACATCTTGGAAGACTACCTCATTCAGAGAAGGTAGTGGTGACAGATAATTGAGGATTTACTATTTATAGCTCAGATGTAAGGGTTCCTACAGAAATGTGAAAAAGTGATCTCTTTAACACGTCATGCATTGCATACAAAAAACAGCTACAACAAGTTATTCAGTCATTCAGCATCAGCATATATAATTTGACACATCACACAAATTAGATGCAGTAATGAATTTAGTTCTGGGAAAACATTTGAATGTTGAATTGGAAAGTGTTTAGTTACACTGTTCACTTAATCTCTTCTGTCATAGTCCATGCCGAAAAGAAAATTCACTTGTGCATAAGATTTTTTTTCTTGTCCTTATAAAACATTTCATGTTAACTTAGTGCTGCTGCTCAAAAATGTTAAGTCACTCTTATCCTCTGGCTTCATTAGATCCTTTATGATTCATAGGAAGCACCAAACCTTGTGCACGTGACAGGCAGGATTTACTGGGAACACTCAGTAGCTGTTACACATGTTGCAAAGGATGATCTGACTCCTATGGCTGGAAGTGGTGAGGGACAGTATGTCTATAGCGGTGTGTTTTAGCATGCAGTCCATGACAGCCAATTGGCAGTGGGGGTACTTGGCAGCAGCAGCAGCAGCATTAGTGATGGAGCCTGATATTTCATCACATCAAATGAGTCCAAACAACACATACATCCACCCATCCATACATTTTGTGCATCCAGTTTTCCTGTTCAGGGCCAAAGGGGACTGAAACATATCATAACATGCAGCGTACACACATACAACATACAAGCAGATACAGATCACTAATAGGTGTGAGTGTTAAATTGTCCAGTTCACGTAACCTGTATGTCTTTGGAGTGTTGGGAGAACTGTTCTGTAGCAACACTGTAAGGAGTAGTTTCTTTCCGTCTCTTCTTTCACTACCACTGGTCAAACAGATCTCACAAAATAACAGTTTTGCCAAAATTAAAAAAAAAAAAAAATCTGGTTAAATCTTTTTACAGATGATAAACGTGCTGTTTTAATCTTTCTAAGTCTACAACATCTCAGTTCCACTAAGTGTAATTAATACAGCCATCTCAGTCTCCAAAAAATAAGTCACAGGATTTTAGGCATTAAATTTGAGATAATCTTTTTTTCCAGTGTCTGTGCAAACTGTATGATTTGTAGGCCTGTAATTAGAGTGAATGAAAAAAGCAAGCCGTTGCTTCCCCACCTGCAGAGCCCAGGAGCAGCTGATAAAGATGACATAAAGCTTCTATACACAACCTAAGCCCTGCCCAGTGTAACATTACTTTTAGAATCAAAGAGCTCTCACCTTGCTTCCCTGTGTGTGTGTGTGTGTGTGTGTGTGTGTGTGTGTGTGTGTGTGTGTGTGTGTGTGTGTGTGTGTGTGTCTGGTTCTGCCTGTGTCAGCAGTGTCTTAGGTAATGCCCAAAAGTCCCATAAAAGGCTGAAATGGAGTGAGTGGTGAGGAACATTTGGCGAGTCAATCATGGGGAAAGGTTTACATCCACCCATAAGGGTCAGAGTTTAATGGCATTTAGGAATCTGATAATTAGCAGTAAGAGGTTTCTGGTTCTCATCTTTGTCTTTAATTTTATTCTAACATCTCCCAGCTCTCACTCCTCAGTCCTTTCTGTCTCATTTCCATGACTTTTTTTTTTGGGGGGGGGGGCTTTGTCTCCCTACATCCTTTCGTTGCTCTCATGTTTCTTTCTCTCTCTCTCTCTCTCTCTCTCTCTCTCTCTCTCTCTCTCTCTCTCTCTCTCTCTCTCTCTCTCTCTCTCTCTCTCTGTGTCTGTCTGTCTTTCGTCTGGCTTCCCACCAGTCGCTGGAGCAAACCCTAAACTATTGTAAACATGTGAGGTGCTGCACAGCAAAGACCTCAGACAGGGTTCAGCAGAAGGTTATAGAACCCCTCAGGGCTCCACTGCATTAGACAAGCAAGAGTTTCTGTGAGGCTTCTCCTGACTGGAAGTGGATTTCCCAGGGGAGGGCACGGGGTCGGAGTGTGGGAGGGGATGAGAATGGACACAAGGATGAAAGAGCATAACCACTGCTTGTAGAAACCGTTTTATCTATCTATGCAGCATACAGTTTCCCAGGTGTAGAAGGGAAGGAAAATAAAAGTAAGGTTTGGGGGTAAAGTTAAAGACCCGTACCGTACAGTCGGCAGATAGCTGAGTTATAACATGTTAAAATGTGTTATTAAAAGCTTAATTTACAAAATCAAACTCTGTAAGAAAATACAAACATGATCAAAATGTTTAATGTTTAAATCAATTTTGACCTGAAGCTCAAGATAAATATTTCACAGAATAATGAGTCATTTCTTGTGTTGCAGGTACTTGTATGAGCGAATTGATGGACGTGTTCGGGGGAACCTGCGGCAGGCAGCTATCGACCGTTTCAGTAAGCCTGAGTCGGAGCGCTTTGTTTTTCTTCTGTGCACAAGAGCTGGCGGCCTGGGAATCAACCTCACAGCAGCAGACACCTGCATCATCTTTGACTCAGACTGGAACCCGCAGAATGACCTGCAGGTACGACACAGACTCGCTTAGCAGTAGAGGCAGCTCACTGCCGTAGATTTGTACCGTTAGTATTCAGGCATGAGAGAATTTTGGCACTCTGGTAGTTATCTCTCACCTGCCAACAAGACGCATCACCAAGAAAAGTGCTTTACACTGTGTCCAATCAGGGGGATGTTCGAATTTCACTCAAAAATTTGCCATTATTTCAGATCAGGTGACATTTGGGTCAGACTGAAGATATTAACACAAATGCTCCTATTTGTACGTTTAGTGCAGTTTACTCATTGTTTTTCCCCGCCCTTCACAGGCGCAGGCTCGCTGCCATCGGATCGGTCAGAACAAGGCAGTGAAGGTGTACCGTCTGATCACCAGGAACTCGTACGAGCGAGAAATGTTTGATCGCGCCAGCCTCAAGCTGGGCCTGGACAAAGCAGTGTTGCAGAGCATGAGTGGCCGAGATAACAGCCTGGGAGGAGGCGCCGGGGGAGGGGTGAGTTTGAGAATTGTCCAAACGGACCGATATAGACATGGGGAATTAAATCGTTGAGTCATGTAAATTATTTTGAGTTAATTTCCAAAGGGAGGTGTTTGTTTTCAGACAGTGCCTGTGATGAATACCATCCATTTCACAAGTTGACCTTGGCTGGACATTTCATTTTTCAGTTCAGCTATCTCATCATCACATTAATACACAAATGAGCAGGAAATGGAAATAGCCTGGTGTCGCACTGTGCTAATCACAGAGCAGGGTTTACACAGTTTTTATTCAGACAAAACTTTTCATCCTTTTTTATTCACCATGTTTCTCTTAATGTACCTTTTATTCTCTTTTTTTTTCTTTATCTGTTTACTCTCCAGCTTCTCAGTTTAGCACAGTAAATAACTAAAGTCTTAAAATACAGATGGATCTGAAAAGCTTAAGTCAAATTTGGAACTTTACTCCAGTTTAAGTAAAGTCATACAAACAGTCATAACAATTACAGACACATTTCTTACACACTCTAACTGAGACGTTCCTGTTGTCATCGTGTGAGAATGAGATAAGTTATAAAAATAAAATACCGAAGATTTCTTCCACTTGTCTCTCCAACAATAATAAAAGTCAACAGTTTGTGATATCAGTCCTGAATGACATCAGAGGAACAGATGGCAGACAACAAGATGCCAAGCAAAGAAAGAGAACTGTTCACAAACCCTAAAACTTGGAGCTCACTCTTGAAATTTCCACTTGAAGTGTAACCGATCCTATTAGAGTCTAATCTTGTTGTGAGGGAGGGTGTCAACAGTGTGTGAAGTGTGTAGGTGGATGTTTTGCTGCAGTTGGTGTCCTCTGAGAATTATCAGGAGTATGAGGTGGTTGAGCTATTAGCAGGTCTCCACATCTGGTCAGACTGAACATATTTGCATTATAAACATCTGCTGGGGTTAGATACAGAGCTGCTGATGGTATGATTTCAATAATCCAACATGCGTGTGTTTGACTGTCTGTCGTTACAAGTTATGCAGGTTTTTGTGCCGTGCATTATGCAGTATTGTGCTCCATTTTGCAGCTCAGGTCCATTTAATATTCTGTTTTGCCTTGTTCATTTATCTGTATGTGTTGTATCTACAGTAGTTTGACTCTAAATGTCTATATCCTCCTCCTTACCCATCAGGCAGTGCAGCAGCTGTCAAAGAAGGAGATTGAGGATCTGCTGCGACGTGGTGCGTACGGGGCCATCATGGATGAGGAGGACGAAGGGGCCAAATTCTGTGAGGAGGACATCGATCAGATCCTCCAGCGCAGGACAAAGACCATCACCATTGAGTCTGAGGGACGAGGCTCCACTTTTGCTAAGGTGAATAAAGTAGATAAGTACAACTGCTCCAACACAGGTGATGTAAATTAAATGTTATCAACTGTTCTTACCCATTCCTCCCCATGTAATTAGAGATGGTTAGATCCAGTGTACATTGAACATTTTACAGGTCACTGGCTGTTTTTGAGTTTCAACAAGGAGCAGCTCATGATACATCATGCAGGTGATGGCACATATGATTATGCTTTAATATGATTCACACGTCTGCTTTCAGGCCAGTTTTGTGGCGTCCGGAAACCGCACAGACATCTCTCTGGATGACCCCAACTTCTGGGACAAATGGGCCAAAAAGGCTGACATTGATATGGAGATGGTCAACGGCAGAGTATGTACTTCACCACAAATAATACAGTACACAGAACATACTGAGCACCTTTCTCACCAAGACCTGGAAAACCCTTTACTGAAATTTTGTTCCTACATTCCCTCGCTACAGAACAGCTTGGTGATCGACACTCCTCGTGTCAGAAAGCAGACGAGGCCATTCAGTGCCACCAAGGATGAGTTGGCAGAGCTTTCGGAGGGCAACAGCGACAGTGACGACACCAAACCTAAGCTCAGGCGAAACCACGACCGCCTCAACAGCTATGGACGCACAGAGTGCTTCAGAGTAGAGAAGAATCTGCTTGTTTATGGGTAAGATGATTAAAATAGTTTATCCATTAAGCCATAGCAACTGTGTTGATCTTGTCTATAGAAAGTGAAACTAACTAACTGAAAACGTGTAATAGGATACAGGAAACATACATCTTTTGTTTAGTCCCATTATTACTTGCTGTTTGTATCTAGTGCCAGTTACATACAAATGCACAAGGATGTCATCACTGTATAATTAAGCCGTACATAAACGTTGAGATTGAAAATTAAAGTGTCTTTTAAGTAGCTTGACAAGTGATACTTTTAATCTGAACCCACTTTTTTTATGTCTGGCTTTTCCCTTTTGCTGTCCAGGTGGGGTCGTTGGAAGGATATTCTCAATCATGGGCGTTTTAAGAAGCAACTGACGGAGAGGGATGTGGAGTCCATCTGCAGGGCCCTGTTGGCTTACTGTCTGGTCCATTACCGTGGAGATGACAAGATCAAAAGCTTCATGTGGGACCTGATTGCCCCCACTGAGGATGGACGCACCAAGGAGCTGCAGAATCACCTGGGTGAGTCTCAGAACTTACAGCCTACATTTAACTGGCCTTATCACAGCAGGTAGTGAGAGGTCAGAAAAGGCGGGATTTAGGAAACTACTTAGATTCCTATACTGCACCAGTGACTGTCAACCATTGGGCAACCTCTGGGGCTGAAAAATTAAGCCAATGATGGGAATGCTGAAAACTGCAGTTCCTTGAACAGCCACTTGAGGCTGGTTCCAGAAGCCAGTCAGTCCTCACAGACCTGCAGAAACAAACATGTTAACAGCCTGGTACAAACAACTTGTTTTTTCTTTTTATAGCTAATTTACCCATTTAGACAACTGTATGGGGGGTAAATTGTTCTGTAACTCACCCATTACATTTTTCTAAAGCTTAAATTTATGGTCACTGTGGATAGTGTTCTCAGGCTCGCAGTGAGATCCACCCCTCGCTCATTCACAGCTCCGCGCTCTTGTCCAGATATGATCACTCTTTGCTCTAAAAATTCAAGGTGGGGAAAGCTTAAAATACCAGACTTAAGGCTTCAAAGCAGGAATCCACAAACCAATGGATGATGTTATGGTGGCTACGTCCATGATCTTATACGGTCTATGACTCTTGACCTCCTTTTGTACCTTTTAGGTTTGTCTGCTCCGGTCCCTCGGGGCAGGAAGGGTAAGAAGATGAAGACCCAGTCGAGCTCTTTTGACATCCACAAAGCTGAGTGGCTCAGGAAACACAACCCAGAGCACATGCTTCAGGACGACGGCTACAAGAAACACCTCAAACACCACTGCAACAAGTAGGTGTTTCCTTATTCCACTTAAAAATTAACGGACACTGCAAGACACTAAATGAGATGTATTCTGACAGCACCAACAGTATAGGAGAACCATCTGTGTATAAGTATGCAGTAGTACCCACGGTACAAAAGACAGATACTCTTGACTGTCTGAAATAGTGTCTTAGATTAAAGAGATAGTTGTAATATCTTATATATTCACGCATTTAACTTGCTTATAGTGAACATGGTGACTAATCGTCCAAGGTTAGTTGGTTTTGTCTCGCTGGTTGAGCATGTGCGTGTTCTTGTGTCTGTGTTTAAACCTTTATGCTATTACAGCTACTGGCAGGTGGTCATTATTCTCTTCTAGACAGATTGTATCACTTTATTTTTAATAGAATGAAGCCTAAGTGTTTGAAAATACAATTTGCACGTGGTTCAAATTTTAACTGTGGCACCTCCAAGCCACAGTAATTAGGAGGCACTAAAACATCTATTGGAGCTGACAGTCGACTGATTCATTAAAGGACGTGCATCACATCTAGACCAGCTGACTGATATGATTCTTAATGAGACTTCAGCCCAGCTAATGGCCGTCATAGATCTCTCTTATTTACAGACGGGGAAAAAGATGGCTGCTATCAAAACATGGTCCGCTGAGATATAAAGCCAAATAGATGCCTGCTCTCTTTTTAAAAAGGGGGCTTGTGTCTGTAGGGCTTTGGACGCAGAGAGCTGCAGCTTCCATAGAAAGTTCTCCATTGTTTCCCGGTCCAGTTGTGCTGAATCCAGGGATTGTCTGATATGTGACAGGCCAGGCAAACGGGGACACACAGTCAGCAGGGTTTGCTGACTTCTGCTTTTTCACTCCGAGGACCTGGAATGTGACTGGTGGGGGTGGGAGGGGGTTCACTGGCTTTCTTAACAGGACCGTAAATGTAGGACTCCTACACAGAAAACTATAAGAAGTAGCGGGAGATGATTCTGACTGTTTTCCAAACTCTTGACATCATCATGTTGTGTGAATTTCCTGTTCCTCAAGCACTTTGCGTGCACTTTTTACACTAAGTTTTGAGAAGACACACAACTCTCATGGTGTGTGTGTGTGTGTGTGTGTGTGTGTGTGTGTTTTGAATCAGAATTACACGTGTGACTCAGAGTCTCCCTGTTACGCAGGTTTTATGATGGATTGTTTTCTGTGAACAGACCACAAGGGATTCTTTTCATGTCATGCATACTTGGCTTATTTGCTTCTGAAAGACTGTGCTGAGATCCTCTGCAGCCTCTCTGAGAGAATCACATTACACTCACACACGCACACACACATGCACGCACACACTGACTAACAAAGGCTTGAGAGGAAAATGATGAAGGGCTGTGCTGACAGGCAGAGGAAGCAGCAGCTGCTCCTGGGCGGTTCCAGTCACACAGGAGGATGGAGGGTGGTGGAGAAAAAGGGAGGAAGTTCAGGACTTTGATTTAGCAGAGCTACAAGTCCAGACTGGTCACCACAGACATCCATCACTCCGACAGACAGGCAGACCTGGGGGCTCTGCAGTTTTTTTTTTTGTCCTGTCAGTGAATCAGGGAAGGATTTGAGGCTCATTTATAACAATATTTTGCTGAATTACAGTCTGGAGAAAAAAGATGGAATGCCTGGCATGCTATATTTCAGAGTGGAAGTCCACAACTCTTTCAGTGCTCTTGAAAGAAGAGCAGCAGTGTGAAGAGGCCTTGGCAGGAGAGGAGGCCACAGGCTTACATGATGTGATAGTTGTTTAAAAAGTGGCAGCAAATACAAAGAAGTAGACAGTGTGACAGTTTAACTAGAGAGATTTTTTTCTTATTATCTATAATACTGCTACATCAGTAGTCTGGCAACAGGTGCTAGACATTGAGACATGAGAATGATTTGAAAAGTTACAGGTGCTTGGTTAATTAACAGTTTTTCATATCTAATTTGGTTTGAATAAGTTGTGTTTTATTAGGGGTGTTTTAGGGCCTCCATTCACAAAAGACGGATGTGTCATTTGGATGTTTCCTAAATTTCCCTGCTCATTTGGTAATGTCATTGGAGAATACTGTATCCTCTGAGATGTAACCATTCTGTAAAGAGTAATTGTAGGACAGCTAATAACTCCACAGTAATAGCAATACCCCACAGAGAATTTTGCTCTCATGCCAGAAATCCTTGAAACCTCCGTGCTGCATTTTTTTCCCAACAGCAAGCAGTACATGGAAATCATTTTGTGTTGAGACAAAATGATTACACAGAACGCTTTTTCGACATTAAGCAAAATCTCAAGGCATGCCAGACGTTCCAGCCTGGCACACCAGCACACCACAGTTCCCACCACTTCACTGTGTCTTCGCTCAAAGCCTGCTGGCTGCGATGTGTGATCATGCATCACAGAGCTAATGTCTCCCCTGTGAGTCAGCCTCTCGCTACCTTGTCAGCCTCGACTTCCCAGCCTTCATCTACTGCCAGAGCACGACCACATGATGACTGGAGAGAGACTGTTGTCTGTTCATTCAGTCCTCAGAGCTCAGCTGTGGAGCTGCCCCTGACTCCTTGTGCGGTCTGTACAATCATGTCGACTTCAGTGAAACTATAATTTCCCACATTAATTGATCAGTGTGTATATCTCCCCTGTGGAAGGCCTGTGGAGCTAATGATTTCTAGCTGTATACACACATAGACTCAAAATCAAATACTGGGGTACGTATTAAACATAAATTCATTCAAGTGTATGCTCTTTATGTGAAACAACAGGAAGAGGACTACATTTTAGGATTACAGCTGAATTGTCACACATTTCACTGATTTGCATTGTGTTCACCGGTTTGCTGCGTGCGTGTGAGCATCGGTTCTGCTCGCTCAGCGTTTGTGCGTGGTCGGGGCTTTGTTGTGACCACTGGGTTTTCTCTGTGCAGGGTGCTGCTCAGGGTCAGAATGCTCTACTACCTGAAACAAGAGGTGATAGGATCCCAGGCCCAGAGGGTGCTAGACGGCGCAGACTCAAGGTGAGCACACATTACTTTACTTTACATACACTTTCTGCCTAGCTTGTTTTTTTTTTTTTTACAACTTTGATTGCTTTAGACTCTTGAAACACAATCATTTTATTTTAAAATTATAATTCGGTAGGTAACCAACATTCTGCTGAGAGTGGTTGTAAAATTCATGATCTGCTCAGATAATAGAATAGCTGGATTCATGATATACACAGAGAGATTAGATAGATGTCACAGCTTCAACACAACGTTGTACACCCAGACAGAGTTTCCAAATCAAGGTGAAATAGCGTCTTTGTAGATTTTTCTCCTTGAGTGGCCAGTATGGCCACCAGCATGTGGTATCAACCTGTTGAAGGAAGAAACTACTGTTCAACCAAATGAATAAGAAGGTTGTAGAGCTCCACCTGGTGGTGAAAGATGTAGAGTTTTTTTCTGTTCTCTATTATACAGCACTGTTGAAAATGGTTAATAAAACCTACTAGTAACAAGGAAATCACCAAAGAAAGTTAAAGGAGGCTTTTATTGTTTCACAGTTCTAATTTTTTTGTGTCACAATGAAAGCCCTTCATGTTTTAGGCATCCAGAACAGTTTGAAGTGTTTGCATGTTAATATAACAAATAGGAGAAGATTAAAAAAGTTAGTAAATGAGTCCAATCAATAAAGGTTCCTCCACATAACATCCATCTAAAACCTCCTCCTCTTCCATCTCTTTAGTGAGATAAAGATCTGGGTGCCAGACCCTGACCATTCGGAGCTGCCAGCCTTGTGGTGGGATGCCATCTCAGACAAGTGTCTGCTGCTGGGTGTCTTTAAGCATGGTAAGAAACCTCATCTTTCACTGTGTTTTATTTAACAGGGTAATCTAAATGAGAAACATGCGCTACAGTTGAAATTAAACTCAACTAGTCTCTGCTCTCAAAGCCTCTGTGGTCAACCTACAGAAGGGGGAAAGTCAGCACCTGTTTTGTTAAAGTTTTAAAAAGTAAAACATTATTTTAGGCTTTACTATTTTTAGTATCTGTGTGTTTTCCACTGATACCAGCTGATTGTGGGAAGTCATCCAGCTTGTGTCCCTATCTGAGAGTTTCCATGCATTCTCCTCGGCTAACGTTGGTGTTTGCTTATCCTCCTGTGCACCCCCAGGTTATGAGAAGTACAACACTCTTCGTGCAGACCCAACCCTGTGCTTCCTAGAGCGTGTGGGACGACCAGATGAGAAGGCCATCGCTGCTGAACAGAGAGGCAACGATTTCATGGATGGGTCAGTACAAATGTTATATGGTCTTTGTTTTAATGTGCTGGGCTTGGGTTTAGATATTTAAAAAAAACAAAAAAACAAACTGTGTCAGCTTGGTTGTCAACTGCAGAAATGACACAAACTTTGTGTGTGTGTATGTGTGTGTGTGTGTGTGTGTGTGTGTGTGTGTGTGTAGGGATGTGGATGACCCAGAGTACAAGCCTGCTCCAGCCCTGCTGAAGGACGATATGGAGGTAAGGCCACGTGAACCCAAGGGACATGTTGGTCCTCTGATAACGCATAATAATTTAAGTGGTTGAGGAAACATGCTCATTTGTTACTTATTATGAAGTCCATCACAGTCTGGTAACTTTATATTCCTGGTTTGAGAAGTAGTGGTTTTGTCTTGACATAAACACGCACTGTCTTCTCATGCAGGATGACGCCTCCTCTCCTGGAGACTTGGTTGTCACTGACAACGCCGGAGGTGAGTATTAGATGCTTGTAATCCACAGTGGATTATCATTATGAAGATTATTATAAATACAGGCTTCCCACAGGCAGGAGCAATCTGGAAAAGTTATATAATTAGAAGTTAAGATGAAAATGACACGAGCACATCACGCTTCCTACAAAGAAAAATAAAAGATAGCACTCAGAAATAGCACTCAGATTTCTGGAATTTGAATGTTCTTTGTATTGTTTATTACTCTGATCCAGATGTAGTTCCAGCGACAAGTGAAACTTCTTACTGGCCCTCACCCTCGGTGCTGACAGCCAGGCTGAGGCGACTGATCACAGCCTCTCAACGCTACACCAAGAGCCGGCAGATCCTCCAGATCCACCAGACTCAGACTCAGTCCCCGTCGACCATGATACTGTCTGCTCCACTCTGTCCGCTGCCCCCCACACTGAACGACACCCTCAACCCCAAGATGGCTGCAAAGATTGAACGGCAACAAAGGTCAGAACACAGAGGACAATGCATCTTGGAGGGTTTAATCAGTGAGAAGGAATATATAACTGCAAGAAAGATTATTGTGTATGAAAAGTTTTATGACAGGGAACCTTTTTCACTTTTCTCAGATGGACCAGGCGAGAAGAGGCTGACTTCTACCGCGTGGTCTCCACTTTCGGTGTTGTCTTCGACCCAAACCTGGGCCGGTTCGACTGGACCAAGTTCAGGGCCATGGCTCGGCTGCACAAGAAGACTGACGAGAGCCTGCAGAAATACCTGTGTGCTTTTACTGCCATGTGCCGGAGGGTGTGCCGTCTGCCACCCAAAGAGGGAGGTCAGAAGTCTACTTGGCTTATTCCCACATGTGTACACACACACACACACACACACACACACACACACAAACTGTCAGATATTATTTATACACTATAATCAAAACAAGAATTTATGCTTCCCAGTTAATTTGAAGTCTTTTTTTTAAGTAACAAATGAATTAAATATTTTGAATGCCGTATAAGTCAGGATATTGTGTCATGTATCTGCCCAGCAGTAGCTGGTGTCTGTAAAAAAATTCTCTATTAGTATATATCATGTATTTATACTTTAATGTACCATGCCCTGATGTGACAAATACACTTTTCTGGAGATGATATCAGCAACATTGTCTCAGGTTACTGTAATATGTGCTGCACTCATTCCTGGCTGTAAATGGTTTTATTCTGGAGAGGGAGGTCGGTAGCACCTTAATAAACAAGCTGGCTCAGCAGTACTGAGGTAGAGGGGCTGATAAGGTTAATCATTTGTGGAAAGACAAACAGTGTGATGTTTAAACTCCAGGCACAAACAGGTCTTTTGGGTTGTACCTGTAGAGCAGCCTTTATTTCCTCTCACGCACTCTCCCTCACACCTGCCTCTCCGTCTTTGTTCCAGACTCTGCAGTGGACCCGTCTCTGAACATCCAGCCCATCACAGAGGAGCGCGCATCTCGTACACTGTACAGAGTGGAATTGCTTCGCCAGGTGAGGGAACAAGTCCTTCGCCATCAGTTACTCTACGAGCGCCTGCCACTGTGCCAGATGAGCTCTGACTTGCCTGTCTGGTGGGAGGCTGGTACTCATGACCGTGACCTGCTAATTGGAGCTGCCAAGCACGGCGTCAGCCGCACTGATTACCACATTCTGAGAGACCCTGAGCTCAGCTTCATGGCTGCCCAACGCAACTACAGCCAAACAAAAACTGCACAGCAGCAATCACGCACATCCACCCCGCTTCTACACTCTCAGTGCCAGGCCACCAGCTCACTGCTGACAGGCTCTCCGCTGCCTCCAACTGCCCAGAGAGAAGCAGAGCCTGGTGGGGTTGTACCCAAAGTGGAACCAGCCTCAGGAGGAGAGGAGGGCCAGGAGAAGCAGGGGGAGAGTTGGAGCCCTCCCCGAGCACCAGCTACTCCCACAGGTCTGGAGGAGAAGCCAGTGTCTGAGACGAGGGATAATGAGAGGCAGATGGTGGCAGCACGAACCAAACCCCTCACACCCAACTCTACTGAGAGGAAACCGAAGAAGGCCAGCAAGAGGAGCCGCAGGGAGACGAGGCGCGGCTCAGACTCCGACTCAGATGGCTCCTCCTCAAGCTCTTCATCGCGCTCCTCTTCTTCCTCATCATCATCATCCTCTTCCTCGTCACATTCTGGGTCCAGCTCCTCCTCTTCTTCATCATCTTGCTCCTCTGGCTCTTCATCATCATCGTCCTCCTCCTCATCTTCTTCTGATGACAGTGAAAGTGAGGGAGAGGAAGGGAAGAAGAAGGGTGAGTACCTGAACTCTGCGTAGGTGACAAAAACTGTATTATTTCATATTATTTCAGAGCAAAGACATATTTCACTTAAATACTAACCAGCTAGATTGTGTAAATTAAATACAGCTTATGTGTGTTCCTAACATCTGTGTTCTATGACTGTCTCAGTGGCTGCAGCAACAAGTGTAAAGGGCTTTGATGAGGACAGTGTGGCGTCTCTGAGCACTACACAGGATGAAACACAAGACACCCACACGGCGGAGAACGGCATCACCAACAGCTCCTCGCATCCTTTCCAAGGAGGAGGGTACATGCTCGCTGCATCCTACTGGCCAAAGGTGAACTACCGCATATGTGTGAAACCAAGTCACTGAAACTGCAACCAAAGTATTCAGCTAGACGGGGAATATTTAATAATTTATGTCATCAGTATGTGTCTCTGATGATTGGTTTAAATGATGGAAGTCCAAAAAACAAATCAATATAAAAACTTGAAACATAGTTGTTGGGATAGGGGAATGAAATTGATACAAGAGTCTGAATGTGCTGATCGTCTGTGCTGCTTTTTATTTAGGATCGTGTGATCATCAACCGCCTGGACAGCATCTGCCAGGCAGTGCTAAAGGGCAAGTGGCCAGGAACACGTCGGGTCTACGAACCCGGAGGCGCAGTGGCCTCCTTCTACACCACCAAGCTGCTGGACAACGCCAACAGCCTGTGCGAGGACCCCTCTGCCTCACCACAGGGGTCAAAGGTGACCAAGCATGTTGCAGAAAACAAGGAGTTCTCAGTAAAACTCAACGATGTATGTTGATTTCTCCTTTACTCCCCTCCTCCCTCCGCTTCGCCCTAATCGTAGGACTCTACCACTTCCGCTGCCATGACCGGTGCTAGCTGCCGCGTTCAGCATGTTTCTCTGGTTTTCTTCCTTCTTTCCTTTGGGTATGATTAGTGGTTTTGACTGCCTGGCAGGAGGAGAGATTAATTTAATAGCAGCCTTCCTCTCTTTTCCCACACACTCAATTTGAATTGGGCTCTGAGGCTGTGATTACATGAGCACAAATCACTCAGTCATGAGAATATAATAAGGTTCAGTTTGAAGCCTCTCTAGACTGAAGGGGTCTTGCTTCTAATCTGATTGAAATGGAGACCTTGGCTGTGGGTGTTCTCTAATATGCTTCTAGGCAACGTGGCTATTAACTTGGCAGGCCTCTGACTTGCTTCCATTTATTCCTTGCTTTTGTGTTGCTTGTTGATAAGGATCTGTTCCCAAATTGTATAGTTTTTACCATCACAGACTCTCAGACACCTGCTGCTTGTTGCCTATGAGGCCTTTATGTGCTGACAGCAGCTATCTCTTTGGCATGGCTTCCCAATACAGTCCAAACTATGAATAGACTTTACCCACTGCCCTACTAGCTGCTACCCTGTGTGTCAATTTGCCCCAATATTACTAACAACAGAATACCTGAAAATATTTGCTTTTATTGTAAGAAATTCTCATGAGATGATAATTTATTACATAAATTGAAATTTAACATAGCTACCAGGATATAGCATTAGAGATAAGACAATAAGCAAGACTAAGTTCCTGTATGATCCCTAAAAAAAAATCACCGGATAGGCAGAGAAAGTTCCTAAAACAGCCTGAGAAGAAAAAAGAAGCTTCAGTTTCTCCTTGTTTGTAGCTGTGTGTGTTTTCTCTGTGGCTATGAATCTTCCAAGACATATCCAACACCTTTTTTTTGTCTGTGTGTGGACAGCAGGAGGGAGGTCTGAAGCTGACCTTCCAGAAACAAGGTCTACCTCTGAAGAGGCCCCTGGAGTCGGAGGAGGGCCCACAGGCCCAGCAGCAGTACCTGGCTCGGCTTCATGAGCTGCAGAGCGCCTCGGACACAGGCCTGGCCGACATCACCAAGCCTCAGTGCAGCTTCCAGACCGGTGTGTTCATTTAAAATACAGCAGATACTGAAAGACGTGCATACAGACAGGCAGACTCACAAAGAATGGATTGTGGCCGCTGAGAGCACCATGAATTGTGCATCATTTGCAGCCACTATCTGCTTTGCTCACGGTCTGATTCACAAAAGATACTGCACTAATGACAGGACAGCACAAACACGCTCATGAAGTTTGGCAGCTTGGTCCAACTTGCCCTTTTTGCATCTCATTGCAAGGGGTCAGAACTATGGCAGAGAGACAAAGAGAGCTGACATGTTCAGATCATAAGCTACAGGTCTTGACAGACGAGGTGCAGAGGCATTCCTCCAAACTTCAGGCAAAGAATTTAAACCTGGAGGAGAGAAACTGTATTTGGGATTTTATATCCCAGTCTGTTGGTGTTGTCTGTTTTTTCAAGATACACCCTCAGACTGTAGAAGGAGATGGCATGATTTGCACTTCAGTTACCACCAGCTCTCTGAAGACACTAATAATTCCACTGTAGCAGCATGTGGCTAATAGAGCTGATGTTTGTGAATTTAACTGCTTTTGCAATGAGGCTTATTTGCATAGAAAGGGGGCAATTTTGCACCAAATAGAAGCATATTACCTCATTTTAATATGCACAAAGAGCACAGGAGCACTGAGATGCTATTTTTTTTGCAGTGCAGTTAGGGGTGCATTTAAACTTTACAGGTTGCACTGAGAATTACATGGTTTCTTTTTGTCCTATTTGCACAAGTTTAGTGGCTGCAACAGCCGAGCAATCCTTTTGTGAATACAGCCCTTGCTGTGATTAGACAGGCCATCCTGTTCTCCTTTACCACCACTAGATGGCAGCAAAATAGTTCTGAGAAGACTGCGTAGATACTTCGCCATCTTCTGAAGCACTCTTGCTCTGTTTACACAGCTCTTTGCAGAACAAAAAATGTGTGTTCAGTCTGAAATACATCACTTGAACATGTTACCAACTACAGTAACTAGAGGTAAAAGTCTAAAGAGCTCATTTGAGTCTGAAAGTGAATGTGCCAAGAAAAAAGAGCTTCATCCTTTCACATTAAATGTAGTTCACAGTAGTTCACAGCTAACAGGCTGCCTCTTCTGCAGGGCCTCCTGGTGTTACTGGTCAGATGAGGCTGAACGGAGTACTAGATGGCCAGCCGGTGGTTAAGAGGCGAAGAGGAAGGAGGAAGAATGTGGAGGGGATGGACCTGCTCTTCATGAATAGGAGTAGAGTCCCTGCTGTTCCTGATCAGGTAAGCAGTTATCTTTCTATCTTTCTATCTATCTCGTATATGAGAAACTGTAATGTAAATGTCAAACATGCTCCTGTATCTCCAGGTGCCTCCAGGGTGGGGCGGTATTGGCCAGGTGGGCGTGGCTGCGGGCGTGGCTGCGGGCGTGGCTGCGGCCGCGGTGCCAGGCTACAGCCAGAGCTCCAGTCAGGCCCCTGCAGACACTGACAGCAGGGTCCCTGTTATCAACCTCAAAGATGGCACCCGGCTTGCTGGGGACGACGCTCCCAGGAGGAAAGATCTAGAGCAGTGGCTGTTAGAGCACCCTGGCTTTGTGGCAGACACAGGAGCTTTTATCCCTGTACGTTTTTTTTTTTTTTTTTTTATAACACACAATGTTCTGAGATGTTAGAGAAAACCTGACCAAAAACCTGATTGTGATAAATATAAATCACCATTATCAGTTCACAACTGTAGCATAACCCACCCAAATTTGATGATGCAATCGATGCAAAACCTAGTAAACTTTTTGCTAACTTGTGCAGAAAAGTCACCACAGTTAGACATTTTCTGTCAGCATGACTGTTTTTCCTCTCCACGTACAGGGGGTAAATAAGATGCAAATGCAGTTCCACTTCCAGGATGGTCGGCCCAAGCAGAAGAGGCACCGCTGCAGGAACCCAAACAAGATTGATGTGAACAGCCTGACCGGAGAGGAGAGGGTCCAGATCATCAACAGGAGAAATGCTCGCAAGGTGTGGTTGTGTGTGGTATAGTACGTGGGTTTGTGGAAACAAAACGGCTTAAAAAAAAAAACAACTCATAATCATCCCCACAGATTATGACACTATTGGCCGATAACTGGACTGTAGCTTCTTTCTTACTGTAATGACAATCTGATAGAACTACTCATACCTTTTTAAGCAATGGTTTAAAGGGAGTAATGTTAGAATTATTTGCAGTAACATTGCCACAGTGCCGTTTGCGTACCTGAGATGACTGGATATTTTCTAAATATAGATCATGTATCCTGCCTGTTGTGCACGTTGCTTCATGTTGCCTGTAATCTTTCCCGCAGGTTGGTGGAGCCTTTGCTCCTCCTCTAAAGGATCTGTGCAGATTCCTTCAGGAGAACCCAGAGTACGGAGTCCCACCTGAATGGGCTGATGTTGTCAAACAGTCGGTGAGTCACCAAGTAACACATTCATCAGACGAAAACTACTGTGTCACATCAACACATCAAGAACGGTGTCAATAAACACTCGGTCATCTGTTTGCTAGGCCACCTGGCCAAAACAGATGCAGTCTAATATAATTGCACATCAATAAATCCTTTCATGAAGGTCATAACCTGTTAAGGGAGGTGTACCTAATTTGTGTGTCTACCCCACTGTTACTATGTTCTGTGATATAGATCATCATCTGCTAACCCTGCGTATATCTACCACGTTGTCTCCAGGGTTACCTCCCAGAGAGCATGTTTGACAGGATCCTGACTGGACCCATCGTTCCTGAGGAGGTGAGCCGGCGTGGACGTCGACCCAAGAACCCTCTGGCTAAGGCAGCGGCGGCGGCGGCGGCGGCAGCGGCAGCAGCACCCAACCCAGCAGCCTCCGCCCTGGGTCTGAACCCCCTGCTGGCTAACGGCCTCCTCTCTGGAATGGACCTGACCAGCCTGCAGGCCTTCCAGCAGAACCTCCAGAGCTTACAGTCCCTGCAGCTCACTGCGGGCCTGATGGGGCTGCCGTCTGATGCTAGCAACCTGGCCGCAAGTAACCTCGCTGCCATGTTTCCCATGATGCTGTCTGGTATGGCTGGATTGCCAAACCTGCTTGGCATGAGCGGTTTGATTGGAAAGCCCGCTCAGGAGGGCACAGGAGTCTCTGAGGAGAAGACAAAGGGAACCTCCAGCGTTGTGACAGGAGAGCCGTCTGCCTCTAAAGCCCCCTCTCACACCTCAGACACCAAAGGAGAAAGGACAGAGGGCTCGAACACGACTCCTTCCTCCACTTCCAGCTCCACTTCCTCCGTCACCGCCCCACAAAGTGCTTCAGCTGCCTCTGCAGCCTCCAGTCACCCACTGTCTCTTAACCCCTTGTTACTCTCCAGTATGCTTTACCCAGGGATGCTTCTCACTCCAGGCCTTAACCTTCCTGTGTCTGCCACACAGCCGCAGAGCTCAAACAGTGACCCCACCCTTCCTCCTGCTCGTCCTCCTCCGCCTGCAGTCTCCCAGTCATCACCACAGGAGACAGAGCAGCTAGCAGCAGAGCGGGACGGAGAGGAGGATGACGAGGCATTAGAAGACGAAGAAGAGGAAGAAGAAGAAGAAGAAGAGGAGGAGGACTCAGCAGAACAAAAGGAGAACAGTGGTCCTGAAGGTTCGGGGAAAGCTGAGTCGTCTTCATCAGAGTCTGGGAGCTCTTCCTCATCAGACGATTCAGACTCCAGTGATTAGGACTGATGCTATGAATATATAATTATAAATTTATTTATGTATCGCCTAGAAATGTAAACATATATTCACATATATATGGATTTTCCAGCACTTATGTTGCGATTTCTTTACATGTAAATACATGAACTAACTAAAATGTTGTGTAATAAAGACAAAAACCTTAAAAAAAAAAATAAAAAAAAAAAACAGGAAAAACTGACTTAAAAGAAACTGAAATAAAATTTCAGTGTTTGTTCACAAGGTACAGTCTTGTTTTGAGACATTTTGCATGTCAGACTTTAGTAGATTTCTGAACTCTGTGAACTTGTACCACAATTATGTACAATTGAAACAAAAAAACGGCATTATTGTAAGTATGTCAGGATTTAATTTTATTAAAAAAAGTGAAACTACATCAACATGCTCACTGAGCTGTACTATTAATATATTTTGATTGTTTGGGGGTCGGGGGAACGACACTTGACAAACACTTTGGTTTCTCTTGTAAATAGTCGGTACTTTTACAGGTTTGTTGACACTTATGCTTTGCAGATCATACGTTGGATATGTCAGCAATAACTTGGGCAGCTAATGAATGTCACTGAAGCTGTAGATTCTCTGTCTGCCATGTTCCACCCCAGTGCACAACTCACGCAGCCTCACTTACCCGACACTGACCCTCACATCACGTTGAATTCATCTCTGCTTTAGTTCACATCCTTCTTTGGAAACCGAATTACCTGAAACTCCCTCTTTAATATCGCCTCACTCTGGGGGAAATCTGTGGAATAGTTTTTTTATTTTTCTCAATCAATCAAACACAAATTCCTCAAAACAAATCATGATTAAATCTGCTGTGATTTCTTTCTTTTTTTTTAACATCAATATCTAATTTTAGAAAGTCCTTATTTTCACCATCACCTTACAAAACATGTCACAACATGTCCAAGGCGCACTTTAGCTACTCACAGTAGGCATACATGTTCACTTGCACATCTGTTGATTCTGACTCCAGTGTCACAGTCTAATAAACTCCTCCAGCTGCGGGGGATGGAAACCAACCTTTTACTGTGTGCCAAAAACTGCCCTTTGACCCTGTGAGGTCCTGGCTTAGTTTCTGGTCTCTGTGTAGAAGAATAATTCAGGATTATTATTATTACAACCCCGGCATATTTGACTGCATCTTACCTCAACTGTGCTAGATGGATTGGCTTCACTGTGCAGATGTACATGTGCATGGGTGTGTTTTCTTGCTGTCCATGTACATAATGTCCTTGTCTCTGCAGGAATATGTGTGTGTGTGTGTGTGTGTGTGTGTGTGTGTGTGTGTCAGAGGCCATTTCTTGTTCTTTTTTTATTTCTTTTTTTTTTTTTTTTACTGAGAGCTTCCACTGTGGTGTTTTCTTTGGTTCGACTCCTCTCACCTGGTATCTCCTGCCTCCAGAACTTTCCAGTCTGAATGTTGTGTATTATGGAGCGGGCCTTGCAAAGCTATGACCAGTAGAGAACTACTATTACAAGTGTTTTTGACCTTCAGACACATCTCGTTAGAAATTTGGAGGAAATGACAGTCCTTTTGGATTCTGTGTTGCATGACCACCTGTCTACCAAAGTCTTACACAACACACACAAAAGCACGAAGCACAAAATAGTTCAGATCCTCGCTAAGATTGTAGTTCTGTCACCGTCTTTGAGTATTAAACTTTACACAGTGCCAGGCGGGTTAGCGTCAGGAAGGGCTAAATGATAGCAGCTTGTGTTTCTGGGAGTCTGCAGCTCGGTTGTGCGTATTTCACTTCGTCTCGACTCCGTTCCGCTGATGAATGGAGCTTCGGCTAGATGTAGAAGTGCCCTTATCCTGTACCTCACGCTCTTATTCAACTCCTGTCTGACAAACTAACCGCCCCCAGATTTGTGCTCAGTGTCCATGCTTGTGTGTTTCTGTCCGTCGTCCCTGCACATGTTCACGTCCAGCTTTAACCAGGATACACGTAAACACTGGAGTTCACTCAAGCCGAAGTACCTTTTTGTAATTTCTCTCTGGCACAACAGTGCTGGCTCTAGGACTGCTGTTACACAGTGGACTGTTAGATATATGTTTCTAAATGATTTCTGAGGTGAGGCTTTTGTTTTGGACTGGCTTACAATAGAGCCCCACTGGATGAACTCAGTCTGTTTAGTTCTTAAGTATTGCTGTAGCATTGTTCTGTGGGTGAAACCATGAGCAGCCGCGTGGTCTGAACACAAAGACTGAAGACACGTATTGATTTCTAATGTTGCTTTAAAGTGATTTCCTTGTATGCCTGTTATATATAGACCTCGTCATGGGTTTTGCTTGCAATGCAATCGCTTTTTCTTTTTTTTAATATTACTACTAACAGTACAGTATTTTTCTATGTCTGAGCAATGAACTTAAACATGCCACTGTCATTTTGTATATCTGCACCTCTGCTCTCTTTAAACTCGTAGTGCCCTTATGCAAACACCCAGCCATCGCTACTTCTGCTGTAGGTGATCGATCCAACGACTTTTGCTACTTTGTGTTGCCCCACAGCGATGGCTTGATGCATTGATGACTGTGTTGAGCCTCTTTAGGACACACATGGGGGAAAAAAAGGTAGACATATGATTGGACTTTTTGCTTTCATTTTGCTTGTCTTCTACTATTTTTTTTAAGGTTGTACTGTGCAAGGACTCCCAACGCACTGCTAGTGCGAGCGAGGCAGTGTTGAATCTGCGTTATACACAAGTAAACAATGACCAATATGCAAGAGGAATGACAAAACACACTACTGCTGTACAGCGAGGTTTTCTTTCCGTTTTCATACATGTAATCACTGAGATGACAAAACTAGCATCATTGGTTTTGTATTTTGATTTTAAGCTTGATAATATCCTAAATGTCACCTTGGTCAGTTTTTGTCTTTTTTTTTTTTTTTTTCATTGGACAGTTGTAATATTTGCAAGTTGTGGTCTGTGTAGTCAAAATAATTCTTTATGTAGTGCAGGACAACGCGTCTTAAAAGTCATTTGTAATTTATTGGATTACTTTCTATGAAGTTCTATAGAGGAAATTGAGGTTTAATTATTTTTATTAAACATATTCTTCTGACTATCAATTAAGTGTGCCTTTGCCTGTTGCTTTGTCATCAGTGTCAGGAACTTTATGGTTCTTGTCCTCCTCATGTGTGTACACTGTTCTGCTCCAATTTGTTTTCCACACTGGCACTGAGTCTGCTGTCCACAGTGAGTGGCAGTGTTCAGGCCAGTGGGAGAAGGCATGGAAAAGTATTTCCTTGTGAACTTGGATGAAAGCTTTTCTAGGCACGCTCCAGTGACAGGAAATAAACTGTACTTGCTTTAATTGAGGTAGCTGAAGCCTAACGTGGCATTTTCCCCTCTACTTTAAGTTGAAATGGTTCCTTTTATTTAATCAGAGTGCTAGAGTTACAAATCAGAAAACATTGGTTACTAACATAGCAGTAATATCCTTAGGATCAATTTTCGAGTTGTAACATTAAGAGGAAAACCAAAAGAAGCAGGGGGAAGAGAGGTGACTTCAAAATAAAATCTCATAATTTCGGAGATTACAATCATAAATTAACAAGAAAATGTACAATAAATACATTAAAATACCATATGTTTATTTAACCATGTACTAATATATGTAAATCTGTGTCAGTTAGCCATTTTTATCTAGTAATACTATTTACTGTCAATCTAGCAAAGGCCCATTGTCATGTTTAGGGTTAGATATGTGTTTCTTGTTTGTTTTTTTCCAAATATTTTTTTCTTGTGAATTAAATCTCAGAGAATTTCATTTTTTTTTCCTTCACATTTTATAATTTCAGAGAATATTTAAGGTTTTTTTTTTATCATAGATTTGTGTTGGGGTTTTTTCTTGCAAATTTACCACTTAAATCTCAGAAAATAACCAAGTTTGTATCTCATAAATTTATGACTTTATGGAGGCATATTTTTTATTGGAATCCCCACCAGCTCTGTACTTAATTTATTTTTTAAATTTTAATTTTTATACTCCCCCACGACCCCCAACAGGATAAAAGGTTACGGAAAATGAATAAAAGAATGAATGAATATCATGTTGGCACATTGGGGTCATTTAAAGTAAAAAATATTTAGAGTACAAGTAAATAAAGTTAAAAAAAAAAAAAAGAAAAAAAAAAGTACTATAGGATTCTTTAAGTGCTAATTTATAGCTTAATGTAATGCAGGATTAAGTACATAAGTATTGAATAAAGATTTTTAGAACTATGTTCAAATTATGGTAATCCTTTAAATCTTAAATGTATGTAAAATTATATAATTGGTTGATGTTATGAACCTTGATGTGCAATCCTCTTCTTCACATGACACTTACTGGTTTTAAAATTCATAATAAACTTTTCCCAAATTATCTTCACCTACACCACAAGCTTAGAAACAGTGTACTGGCCAGACATCTGTGTATCAACAGTTACACTGCTTAAAATGTACAGCAAAGGGTTAACAGGTTTTCCTCTCTACTGTAAGTCCTCCCCTCCTCCTCTTGGTGGCGCCCAGTGGCCTGTGTAGGTTACTTCTGCAACTGTTCATTGCCTCTCATAGCAACAAGACTCAAGTGACAAGTTGGGGCTTGTCTGAGAGAGGCCAATGATGTGAACTTCCTCAGTGTGCAGAGCAGCAGGTTGACACCATGCTGCTCCACTCCTCTGCTACCAGCCGGACATGAGGGACGTGCAGGGGGATCCTTAGACCAGAGGAGCCCAAATCTGGCTCACTAAACGTTCCCAATTCTGGTAAGTGACTTTGACCCTCTTTGTGACTGTTATCTTGTGTGTAAGTCAAAAGTTGCACTTGGATGACCTGACTGACATGTTGCATGAAAAGTCTGAAAACCAAACTGTAACCCTGTCATCATCTTCTCCTGCATGAGTTAGTGAATGCTGCAGCACAGTCTGACCTTACACAGTTAATCACTGACCTTTGTAAATGGCTCTGTTGCAGCCAGGCCTGTGTGCACTGTCAATAAAGTTTTATTGATTATCACACAGGACAGTCATTCAGTTAACTACAGTGACATTTAAATGTTAAAACACGTGTATGAAAGTGAAAGTAAGGCCATTTTTTTGATGTAACTTCTGTCAGTGAAGACCAGGCTGGAGGAAACGGGAAATGGGTGTAACCCACAGAAATTGGCAGCAGATTATACATTTCTCAGAGTGTAAATTGACTTCAGAAAAAACAAAAGACCATCTAAGCATGTAGTGTCAAAGTATGACACATAGAACGCTGTTTCTTTCCATAAAATGCATAAAGATGTTTTACATATTACATTAAAGGCAGAATGAGGAAGATAATGGAGCATGACAACAATAGTTTGGGCGAGGTAAAAACTTAACTTAAGACATTTTTTATTTTATTTCAGTCCAGTTTATGACTGTTCGGCAGGCATGCACTGCTGACTTGCTTTTTCTTTTTTTGCTGGGGCTCATAGCAGTGGCATTGTAACGGCAACCAATCTGTTGTCAAAGTAAGATGAACAAAGATCTCAGGACAAATCAGGACACTTTTAATCAGGTAATGACAGCTCAGATCCAGGCTGTGATTCATATGCATGAGTAGGTGTGTGTGTAGCTGTGTGTGTAGTTGTGGGTGTTGTCATGCTACAGAGATATGCCTGGTCATAACCCTGCTGCTGTGGAAACAATTCAGACATGTTGTTTGACTGATAAAGAGATAGCATGATATAAAAACATACTGTCTGCTCTCCTGATTTAAGTATATGTTGTGTCTTTTACTTAGCTTAGCTGCAGTTGTGTGATGTCATTAAAGCTCACTCAGAGGAAAGAGTCTGTAAGGTCTCTGTTCCCCGCAGCAGCTGTTTGACTTTAGATGAATCAGTAGGAAATATGTGATGCCATGGTGACAAAGTTTTTTTATTTATTTATTTTAAAATAACTGCCACAGGGTGTCTACAGGTCCTTAAAAGGTCTTAACATGTCTTAAATTAAGCTTTCTTAATATAAGGCCTGTCTTAAATTCAGATTTGATGGTTCTTAAATATTTTCAGTCACATTACTGCAAAGATTTCTCCAGCCTGACAGACCCAATGACTCTTTACAGTCACTGGACAGACTGACATCAGTGTGTTCACTCGGAAGGAGTACTTACATGTGTGACACAAGTTCTTACGTGTTTGCTGAAAAATGTGGGTTTTTTTTTGTCTTTTCTGAAAACCTTAAAATATGACTCGGGCAATTATGCTATGAGGCTAACAATATAGTAGTATATAATTTGTATTGCCATTGCAGGTTTGGTCTTAAATTTCATATAAGGTGGTGTAAAAAAAAAAGGTCTTAAATTTAACTTGGTTATATCTGCAGACACCCTGTGCCAGTGTTTCTTCTCTTTGTGCCTTATATTTATTATTATTGTTGTGTCTTAGTTTACACTCTCACACTCTTAGCGCACACACACACACACACACACACACACACACACACACACACAGACATATAGGAATACAGCGATTTCTCTCGTCCTTCGTCTTTTATTCTTACTTAACTCTTTAGTTCTTTAGTCAATCAACAAGATTTTCATCTACAGCTATATACACAGTCCTGCCAAGTACTTCTACCAGTACCATAGAAATAAATATATTTCATCTCAACCTCATCAAATTGTCAATAAACTAGGCATTTATACACCAAATAAGGCCACTGGTGGATCTTAGGCCTCACTCTGGCACATGAGAAGCTCTTTGATGTCAACATCTTAATCTTAAAATTTCTAACCCTGACCCCAACACTTAAAGGGTTAATGCCATTAGCAAATTCATTTAGATCATCACTAGATAAAAGGGATCTTATCAGGGAGAAGTGTCAAGGGAAATGAATGAAGCAAAAGTGAACAACTGTCATGCTTGAGGATTAAAAGGAAGATCGCGGTCAGATATCAGTCCCTGAATTTGTGCTTCTGAGAGTTTTGAACGTAACAATGTGCGTCATCAGAGGGAGAAACTGTTTGACTGAAACAAAGCTGGTTACTAATAAAAGCTATTAGCAGTAAAGCTACTTCTCCTTGGACAGAAAGGGTAATTTTCAAAGTGTGTTGTCATTTAGAATACCAGCCTGTGTGGGAGTAAACCTTACAACAGACAGCTAGACTGACTGTGTTTACTGAAAGATTCTCCTGAAGAGACAAAATACATTTTTTGGGCTCAAGGTGGCTCCGTGAAGAGGAAATATAAAGGACGTTTAGTAAAAATAGTTTAGTACGGTCATTATGGTCATGTTTGGTGACCTGCACACACACTACCCAGCCTGTGAAGACTTACAAGACCACACAGATGACCAAACAAAATCACAGTTCAGTATCCTACAACCTCTCCCTGCTTCCTAACAGCCTTTTCGCTTGTGTTTTTTTCTCTGTATCTCTCTCTTTCACACACACACGCACACATGCACACGCACACACACATACATGTATCACCACATGTCGTCTGCAGACACTGCACTCTGAGGTCTGCCTGACTCAGTGAGGACAGTAACCCTGAATGATAAACAGCACATGTGGGAATGATTAGAGAAACAGAGTCTCCATTCAGTCGGGACAGAGGAGGGAACAAACACACACGCAGATAAACTCAAATGGCCGAGGTAGAAGACGGGCCGGTACCAGTGGAGGAAGGAGCATTCAAAGTAAGAGTACCACAAGGTCTACAACAATGCAAAAATTCCCAGTAACAAGTTAAATGCTGGTGTTGGAGATGACACATGGCCTCAGATCACCTGTGATCATTTTTCACATTAAACAGCGTGGAACAAAAGCTCCTTTAATGGACGCTGACACAGAACACAACAGTCTGTGAAGCCTAAAATGATCTTGTTTGCCGAGCCCTCTTACAGACATGAGTCTTCTCTGGCATCTGAAGTATTCCTCTTGTCACAGACTCAACACATCAGCCAACAGGAACTATTCTCTAACCTACTAAATAATAAACGTGTCCACTGTACATCAGTGTTGCTGCCAGGTGGAGCAGCAGTCCATGTTTGGGAAGGTTTCCCATCTGACATGTACAATTACACACGTGAATCATCATCATTGCCAGCTGGAAGAAACAGCCAGCCTAGCTCTGACCTAAGTTCAAACCTCAACAATCCACTTACCAGCACCTCTTAAATTTACTACATAATATTCATACACATTAATTTAACCACACGCTGTTTTCAGTGAGTTTAATGCTATAACAATCATTCTTGACAACTGGGACAAAACCTTAATTTTGGGGGGTTAATTTTTGCTCTTCAATTATGCCAGTAAAATATATTTTAAAAGAATGTATTGGCTATTAACCCTTGTAGGCACACACAAGTCGTAGAATCATATTATAAAACATGATGGAAATGTTTAATAATTTTTGTTACATTAAATTTAAGAAAAACAAACATTATAACCCTGTCCACTCACAACTTTGTGATAAAAAAAAAAAAAACATACCTCACTTATAACACAAAGAACATACATTAGGTGTACCACAGAAACTTTCGATTGATATAAACTCATTTTATAAATCATTGTGAACATTAATGAATATAACAGAAAAAAAGTGATGGAGGTGACTTCTCTATGACGGAGTTGACGTCATATAAAATACAAAATATTACACAAACATAAGAAAAATAAATCTGGAAGCACAGAAACTGTTTCAAACACGAATCTTCTGTTTTTGATTTTTTTTTTTAGATTTTTACAAAAATTAACATTTACATAGAAAATAGAGAATTCACCAGACGGTGTCAATTACAACTAGGGATGAGACAATATATTGAAATTTAATATTGCAACACAAAAATATGAAAACATATATGGTTTATTCAATACCTAAAGAGAACTGAGGTGTGTCACCCACGTCAGCATGGGTGTCAGATAAGCGCTGACAGATTTGACAAAAATGTATATATTTATTAACATCACAGTAGTCGTACTGAGTAGCCATTTTAGTTTGCAAAGTTGCCTTAATGCAAATCAAAATGCACATTTTCAAACCATAAATCCTGTTCAGTTTTGTTTTAGAAGGGCCGCAGAGTTGAGCTGTGATAGTTGAGAGACACCTGATAGCCATATTATTTAATGAATTTATGTAAAAATGGAAAGCTCACTCGTACTTGAGCAGCATTTCCGCCTTTTTGAAAACCAGGAAGTGAGACAGGAGTCATTAGGATATAGCTGACCCCTTTTGTGCCTGATAAATAATGTGTTTGTAGGAATATGATGGAGTTGACAAATATGTGGGGCACATCTTTAAAGGGCCGGCATTTTCACAAAAAATATAATTGAAATTTTTAATTGTTTGAAATTGTGAATTAATTTCTGGGAGAAGGATGTTTTCTGGCACAGGGCAAGTCTAGAAGAAGAATATTACATATGTCATATTTATTTCATACATACAGTACATATAAATCTTTTTAAAAAATGCTTCACTCAAAAAATTGGATTAGCATGTTAAGTTATAATTTTAAGGGTGTTTTTTATTATTAGTATTATTTTTTTTGTTTTGTTTTCTGTCTAACAACTGAATCCAGACACACACACACACACACACACACACACACACACACACACACACACACATCACGTTAGCCACAACTGGACTGGACTGTGAAATGGCCAATTTTATTTTAATTTAATTTCTATTTATGCACTTATTCTTAACTTATTTTATTTGATGTCTGTTTTAATACCACTGTGTTGATGCTGTGCAGTTGTTTTTTGTCTTTTATGAGCTGCTGGACAGCTGAATTTTCTTTTGTGGATAAAGTTCTTCCTATTCTATTTTTTTCGTAGGACACGGTTTGTCCCAATTCTTCAGAATGGGTGATAACCATTGTATTGACTGGGTCAGTGACTTAGTTACAAGATGTATCATCCACTACATGGTTTTGTATATTTGTGTTTGAGTTCAAATGAAATATATAAGTGAGATTTAGAGGTGATGTAAGAAGATCTTTTTAGTTTTGAAAATAGCCAAGCTAGCCGTTTTGCTACATTCTGTGGTTTTTCTATAGTCTGTGGTTTTTGTGCAAGACACAGTGTTGTCATTACGTCTGACATGTTACAAAAGTAGCATTGGACTGATGTAAACATACCATACACAGAAAGAGTGAAAAAAGCAAACTATGTAAATGACATATTCTGCCACTTTTAAAAGTCATATTTATTCTGTGGCTGACTGACTGTACTGTACTGTACTGTACTGTACTGTACTGCAGTGTGTCATGAGCCCTAATTGTCTCCCAGTCTTTCTAACGTTCTTTCCCTTGTTTAGGTGCCCATTCCTGCTCTGATTCTCCTGTGTGAGTGTGCAGGTCACCATGGCAACCGGGCCTCAGGCTAACCAGAGATGGCCAAGGATTGGCCCCAGTGAAGGCCTGATGGCTATGTTCAGGTTAGCTCTACAGTCTCAGTGTGTTACTCATACACTGCTCATTTTGTCTGTGTGGAATCTCAGATCTACGACGTTAATAATTCATCAGTGCCTGTGTAGACCCGTATCTCCTACGTGCATGTTAGATCTGACACCTACCATAAATATAACAGGGGCTGCTTACTGTGTTTAACATGTGGTATACTGGTAGACAGCCCACAGGTTTGCACTTAGGCACTGAGACTGTTTCACCATGTGTAAACATTGTTTACTTCAGGAAATGTCTATTTAAATTCTTCAACAATTGCAGTGAGGGCTTTTATTTACTTTTCAGTTGTTTCATATCTCCTGGTCATTCAACCACTCTGCTTCCATACTAACCACCATGATTCTTCTGGTACAGGGCCTGCTCCAGAGATCCAACTGAGGAGATTAAAACAAGACTGAGATGTATGCTGGACACATTTCTGCAACACCACAGGGACAATGCAGGAAATGAGAACACCAATGGTATACTAACCTATTTAATGAGATGACGGATGTGACAGTGATAGTAGTTTCATTCAGATTTAAAGAAACACTGTTACCCTATGTTCAGTATTTCTGGAGGAGAGATGATTATGGCCTTCACAATGTGCTGGTTGGTTTATAGCCCAGAATTTTATGATTGGCAATGGCAACACACGGCGCCCAGTCAGAGACAAAGCAGACCACATGTTTAATATTCACTGTTTTCCAGAAACAACAGTGTCTGTTTGAGCACAGCAGGGAACCACTGTCTGCTCGCCTACAGTATTTTAAATCCCTACATGATCAGAGAGCTAGCTGTTTTTTAATGACAGGTATTAGCTTCTGGAATAAAGCTCTTGCTGTTGATACATGTCACATGTCATAATCCGTGTGATATCGTTCACAGAACTGGCAGTGAAGTGCTGCTATCAAGCTGGGATCTGGTATTACAGGATCCTGGAGAACATTGCCAGTCAAGAGAGGGACAGGAAGGGCATCAGTGACATCTCGGTGAGTGTACCACCCCCCTGAGGCCACAAATGGAACTGTGGTGGCAAACAGGAGGAGCACTGCATGAAAACTCACTGAGTGATACTGAATATGTTATAGGCTGAATCCAAATGTCCGCCATCTGGACCTGCAGACTGAGCCCTCGCAGACTTCAGTTGTACGGAGTGTGACATATTTACTGTCATCACGTAAAGTTTGCAGGGGCAGAGACTCCAGGCGGCTAACAGACAGTCCTCGCGTTTTACTCGTTGCTGTGGAAATGTTCAACTATTGCTGCTGTCATATTCATATATATTTCATACAAGTTTATGAATAGTGCCTACTCATCTGTCCCTGCAGATAATAAGATAGAAATCCCATGTATAGTCTTATATCAGGCTACATGTGTTTAATAACAGAAATGTTTATAAATAATATCCATATCATGATGTGGTTGAAAATTATTTCTGGCCCACACAATTCAAATAACTTTTTAATAGGCCTAAATATCAATAACTATTTTACACATTCATAAGTTTTTACTTTGGCACCTGAAAACCCTCAACGTCACATCCGCATTGCAATAAACTGTGCTTAAAGTAAATCACTTGTGCTTGTGCATGTTTTTGTCGCAGGGCATCTTGGGGAATGAGCTTTTCCAGTCCTGTCTGGTGGCCTGTTGTCTGGAGATTACCATATCCTCAAACCGTCTACCATGTGACTTTCCTCTGCTCCTTCAGATCTTAAAATTGGCACCATACCACTTTCTGAAGGTGTGTTTCCAAGCTTCTTAGTTTGATGTATAGCGTATGCTTACAGTAAGTGTGTAACTGTCTGTTGTGTGCACATTTATCGACATTCAAAGAAAAATGCATGTAATTTAATAAATGTCCATGATACAGGAGAGTGCGCATAGACAAACGTTTGCAAATATTTGTCATGGTTTGCATTTGCCAATATAGATGTGAATTCAGTGTGTGTTACTTTAACACATACACTTGTTAGAATACTTCATGGGGAAAGCTCCACAGCAGAAAATATGGTTACATTCATGACTTACAGGAACCAGAAGTTTCTAAAGGGGGGTGGAGAGATTTGGAGAGACTTTTTTCCTCAGATAGTTTCCCATCTGGTCCCCAACTACCTCTAACTTTGAGGATACCTCCATCCTCCATTTGTCCCCTGTGGTGTGACAGGTGATTGAGCCGGTGTTGCGGGCTGAAGCGGGCCTGCCTCATCATGTTTTCAGACACCTCGCCCAAGTGGAAGAGAAAATTCTGGAGAGCTTGGCCTGGACCAGCGACTCACCGCTGTGGGAGGACATCAGAGCCAATGAGGGCCATCTGTCTGCCTGCCAACAGGTTGGCAGTAACACACAAAAACACTTTACCTGGCACCAGGAGTTACCTAAGATTTAATATTCAAAGCTCTTCCAAGGTGATGCCAGTGACAAGGTTCTGAGTTGAAGTAAATTAGAGATGTAATAATGGACCTGTATGTAAGTATCAGAAGGACAGTGTTTCTTCGCACACGCAGTACATGCTTTAACAAGGGCTTTATGTCATATGCAGGTGATGCTTCCTACACAGCTCGAAGATCCAAAGAGAGCAGACTCTCAACCTGAGAGCAATCAGCCAGGAGGTACAATGCAGTGTATTAAAGCTCTTCTTTTGTTCACATTATTGTAATTCTATTGCATTTAATACATGTGATACACTCCTTAGTTGTACACTGACTGCAGTACTCTTATTATGCACCCACTGTTTTTGTCAGTGAATCTCAGTTTTGGAGCTGAACCGTCTACCAGCACTGACCAGCAGCGTTCCCCATCAGCTGTAAACAGGCCTCAGAGAAGCAACTCCCTCCATGTGTTCGCTCGCCAGGTCAGTTAATCTAGCACACCATAGCATTCTCCTAGAGTGTGATGATAACTGTTATGTGGGGCCACAGTTACAACCGCAACCACAAGCCACAACCACAACCACTCCTCTATCAAGAGAGAAAAGTCAGCTAATCTTTGAGTTGATATTTTTATATTAAAGATGATTAAAACGAAGCACGAGTTAGTGACAGCATTTTGTGGTGTTCAGCTCATGTCCAGCTGACAAATGGCCAACTATAGATAACTGTTTTCTCTCTATACTACATTTATAAGAACTATTTCTCAGGAATTGTTGTTTGGAATATTTGGAGATGATACGTTACGTGTGGTCGTGTTTGCTCTCTGGCTCAGGTCTACAGTTTGATGGGGAAGCGTCTGAGGGAGCTGAGTTCCACACTGGATATTTCAGATGAGCTGCGTCTGAAAATCTGGACCTGCTTTGAGTACTCTCTGGTCCACTGCACCAACCTCATGGTAGACCGTCACCTGGACCAACTGCTCATGTGTGCCATCTACATCATAGCTAAGGTGGGCTGACAGTAGTCTTGGCACCTTTTATAGTCATATGCTGATTTGGTAGACATGCTGGTGTATATGCAGGAATGTTTGTGGAGTAGTCCACATGGTTTTTACTCTTTCATCCTATTACATCCACACTATCCACTGAAGCACTGTCAAGAGCATGCCAAACCAACAGGGAATGATATAACCCTAACCCTAAAGCCATGTGTGAGGCCAGAAGCCTCAAAAAGCCATTACTGAAAGGCTACCTTATGTAACATTGACCAGGTGCATAAACTGTGTACACACAAAAAACATGTGTACGCCTTTTCCCACACATAAACTGGGATTTATAAATGAACAATTGGCCTCATTCAAAAACAGCGCCTACATACAAATATGTGCTTAAACTGTGCGTACGAATGTTTTAGAAGAAATCCAGGGTTCCTCAATACTTTCTCACCTGAATTTTTTTATACTAAGGGAATACATTTTGAACTGCCTCAGACCATGCGTAGGCACAAATGATGAAGACCGGCTGTCTTAGAAAATGTAAACACACACATTTTAACTAAATGCATAGCATATTAAAACTGCACTCATTACACAAGAATTATAGCCCCACGGTTATATGCCTCCACACACCAAGTTTCTCTCAGTTAACATCCATGTCTGTGAAAGCATGGATGCTTCACACACATCTTCACTCCGGCAGAATAGAGGATCTATACAATCAGCACAGTTTCAAGGTGGGCACTCAAGATTAGTGTCACCAATTCAGTATCTGACCAAATGTCTCCCTTCTGTTCCTCAGATATGATGTTGAATAATGACCAGAAAAGTGTTTTATGCAGAACATTATGGTTTCACAGTGAAGGTGACTTTTGACTTTTTGGATATAAAATGTCGTGACTTCATCATTATATCCTATTAGACATGTGTGTAAAGTTTTGTCATGTTAAGGGTAAGAATTCTTGAGTTAAGGTCAATAACATGTTTTGTAAGGTCAGCTTGACCTTTGACCTTCAACTACCAAATTCCAATCACTGATTCTTCAGTTCAAATGGACGTTTGTGCCAAATTTGAAGGAATTCCCTCAAGGCATCTGGGGCTGACAAACGCACGGATTGACAACCTGAAACATAATGCCTCTGGCTACAGCTATAGCGGGCACAAAGGCATAATGGCTTTCATAGACAACAATATTTAAGACCATTCATTTAGTAATTTACTAAAGCATGCACTTATTTCATCCTCATCAATTATCATCCTGATTAAAATGTTACAATATAAAAACTGAGGGTCTCAGTCATAGCTTAGATGGGAGTACATGAGAGTGTCTGTACTGACTTGTAGCAGTTTTGGATTCAATTGTTGCTATTAAATCTGTCTGTCGGCTGATGATTGCTACTCCCACCAATTTCTAGTGCCATGATATTATTTTAAGGGTTGTTGTTGTCATCAGGATATGTAAGTGATTCTGATCTACCCGGTGTTAAGATAGCACATCTAACCTTGCTGCCTTCAGGAGAGAGCACATCAGAGACAAACATGTTTGAACATGTTTGAGGAGAGTGACATATGGCTTATCAGCCGTTTCTGACAGCAGTTACATTCACAGGCGCTCACTAACTATCCGACACTGGTGTGTCAGGGCCTAGAAACACGTTCACCACTTTCCCCATGATACACCTCTGGGCTAGAGGGTGACACGGGAGTGGATTTTCAGTCCCGTCCCATCCCACTCCTACAAAAATAATCCCTCCTGTCCCAATCCCACAAGAATGACTCCCGTCCCATCCAGCTCCCGTGTTGTGTTTCAGTTACAGTAAAAAAAAAAAAAATAGTACATGGATCACACATAAGAACCAGTTCTGAGAGAGAAAAATGTAGTTAAAGTATTGCAGTAGAAGTAGTGTTTGGTTCCTCTGACTGATATTATATATGGCATCATTAGATTATTAATACTGAAGCATCAGTGTTAGAGCAGCATGTTACTGTTGTAGCAGGTGTGCAGTTAAGTTGGTTGTATTCGCTCTTTTTGTTGAGATGGTTTTTGAACAAACCCGGCACACCGGCTCGTCCAAATTACTGGGCTGCCCTCTGTCATTTGGTTTAAATCCAAATCACTCCCACACGGGCAGTGGCATTTGGTTTAGGAACAAGTTCCATGTCTTTCTCTTACGCTCAACTCTCTGTTTTCTTCTCCGCCTCGTCTCCCCCTCACGAAGATCGCACTGTGTGTGTGTAGCCCATAGCCCCGCCTCCCCCACAGAGACAAAGACACTCGATGACAAGAGCTTTCCCTCTGTTCATTACGCTAATGAACCAACTCACCTGGCTGCCAGACAATGCACGGAAGTGAACGCTCTTGTCGTCCAGTCTCTTTGGTGGAGAGAGACAAGGAAAACAAACACGCATTAATATGGCAATTAATCGCTTTTAATTTACCATGCAATTAACCGACTTATCGCATATCGTGACAGGCCTAATTATGATTCCCAGTCCCGCCCGCTCCCATTGACTTTTTTTCCCATTCCGTCCCAATCACGTGAAGAATAGTGAAACTGATTCCCATCCCATGTGAATCCCACGGGAATCACGTGACCCGTGGGACTCCCGAAAAAATGTCAGCCTCTACTCTGGGCAAACTGATTTCCTTGTATAGAGAAATAAGGGCGTGGCAGTGTGATGAATGCAACAGTGGGCACATGCCTGATTCTGATTTACAAATGTACATTCAGTGGTAAGAATCAAATCAGCCCGTCATTTTAGTAAGAACAGTTTTGTGCACATTTTAATGAATAAGGCCCAATGTGCGGTGAGAATGTGCGCATCTCACACATTCTTCATACCAGGCGTACACACGGTTAATGATCATTTAATGTTACTCTGTAAAGCACTTTGTAAAGTCAGTTTAATCATGAGTGCTGATTCATTGATCATTATTCTGATGTGTAACAATCATAATGACTAATATTCAACCGCAATGATGGTTTGCAGAAATTTGCTGAATAATTGGTACAGATGCTCACAACAGTCGTGTATAATGACAACTGCTCTGGCACCACTGGACAACCTCATCCATGTGTCACAGTCTGTATTTCTCATTGACAGGTCTAGTGAATGGTGGAGAGGCACAACTATCGATATGCAAACAGGGCGTTTCTACGTCTGTTACTGGTTAAATGTGGGTGTAGAAATGAGACTGGCACACATGCGCTCAGTGGCACAATTATCAAGATTTATTAAAAAAAAAAAAAAAAAAAAAGGTTTATAAATCTGACAAAAAGAATGCAGATGCACATTTTGCCCTTGTGTACACAAACCGTTTTAGTCTTGAATCTAAACCAAGTTTTATGCATCAGGTCAGTAATGTAATTAATGTTACCTGTATTTGAATTTTTTTAGGCAATAGTTTTACTTCATGTAAATTTCGGCATGTACGGTAACAGCACTTGTACAAAATACATAATCAGTTGCTAATTTATGGCATTGCTTTTACAGATTACCAAGGTGGAGATACCCTTCAAACGCATAATGAAGTGCTACAAGTCTCAGCCGCTGTCCAACAAAAGTGTATGTTGTTTTTTTAAGATTATTCCTGTATGTTCCCTTTGACCCATAAAGAAAACAGTGGAGTTGATACATAAACCTGAAGTCACTGTTACCGCCATCTGAGGAAGTGGATTGGCTTAAAAAATTGGATAATTGAAATATAAGATGTATGACTTAAGATGTTACTGAGTATTAACACTATGTCATCAAATTGAGAGTGTATTTGAGTGTGTGGTATAGCTATAATAGTTCATTAGTTATGAACACAGACATCTTCTGTTCTTAGGTCTGCAAAAGCGTGCTGATTTCTGGAAGAGACACCGAAAATTCTCGAACTGGAAACAACAGTAAGAACCCTTTAGTTAGAAAATACCTCACTCACTCATCTGCATGCAGAATTAACATTATGATGGGACATCATGATACAATGTGGTGTAATACAAGCTAATTTACAAATATTAAAGCAGCTGTGCGGAACTTTTTACCATTAATAAAACTGTCCCTAGTTCGTATCACCCCCCCTTGAAGATCCGCATATTTATTTGAACCCAACAGCGACAAAAAAGCCTTTCTCTATATGGCTATTTAGCGTAGCCTCGCTCGGGTCGGACACACAGCGGAAGTCAGCTAACCAGAATACGGCACCTTAGGCGGAAGTGATTCTGCTCGCCGGCAGCAGCCCGCAGCGATTAAACCACAGAAGAAGAAGGAGCCGTGTTTACAGTGTTCTTCGAGTAAGCAGTATGCAACGGGCATTGCTGAACACATAACACCTAACAGTTTTACCAGAGATGTATCTATGAGGACTTGGTTGTACTTTTGATGTCATGGCAGATAACAAAGGAGCATCATCTAAAATTATCTGTGACTGTGACTAGGTCACAGACACAGACAGTAATGTATTCCTGTCAATTACGGCGGCCATTGGCTTACCGGGTGACGGAGAAGTTGGCTCCAATAATATCCTCTTCTTGGTGTCATGACTGCCCAGAAGTATCTGAACAGCTGAGCCAGCCGAACACAGACCGTACGTGATATGTCAGAGGAGAAACGAGCCGTTCACGGCCCACAAACCTCACCGCACTTTAGGGACTGTTCGTCACTTATGAAGGGACTGTCAGGGGAGGAGGGTGGCTGGTTGATTTTTATTTTATTTTGATCCCCCCTATGTTCATCACTCATTGATGCTGTTTTTGAAGTATGAATAAGTCAATAAGTAATTTATTCCATTGAAATATCATTGATGTATTATAGAAAAGTGATTTATCTTTTAATAAATGACAAAAGGCACATCTGCCTCATTTTCGCTGTGGTATCGTGATACTACTCAGAACCATGGTATTTTCATTGGTATCGCACAGTGGGTCCTAATTTTGGTACCACACTTGGTGACAACACTAATCTGGAGGGGGTTCATCTGCAAAAACTAATGAAAAACTAAACAACGATATTCGGTATTCGGTACTCGGTATTCGGCCAAGCGTTTAATAATATTCGGCTTCTGCTTCGGCCACAAATTTTCATTTCGGTGCATCCCTAACTGTGACCATGAACACAAATATACAGCAGGCAGTTGTCCTCAGTTTATAAGAAATTCAGAGCTACACCAGAACATTTATGAACAGGTCTTACTTTACTACTAATTTGTGTGTAACGTTAGCATGTTAGCATGTTTCCACTAGGGTGACCATATTTTGATTTCCAAAAAAGAGGACACTCGGCCGACCACGACATAGCCTACTTAAATGATACTCGCAGTTTACTCAAAGATGCCTTATCATTTTGATTTATTTAAAATTTATATGTATGGATAGAAAATTCAGTTATATTACAAAATAATATCTCTCAAAGACAGAAATTCAGATAGGCCCCAATAGGGGACACATAACACTAGAGTGTGGCGATCCGAGCCTGATGGTACCTGACGGGTTCGGGCCGGGTTTGGTTAAAAATGTAGCTATAAATTGTACTCGGGCTCGGGTTGGATTCGGTCAGCTTTCAGTGAAAATGTAGTGTAAAAATAAATAAAATCCTATGTCTGTCCTGTTTATTGCTTGGGCTCTGTTATTTACGTGACAACACCTGAACATAACACACACAGACACACATTGGCTATTTGTTTCTACCTCTCTCCTCGCTGGAAGTCTTGGACCTCCAGCCACCCGCCTCCGCCTTGATTAAACGCTGAAAATAAAATAAAAGAGGGAGACAAGTTTTTCCTGTTTTATCTTATTTTGTTTTATTTCTCCCTCTTCTCTCGCTGGAAGCGTCGGACCTCCTGCCGCCCGCTCCCGCCTCCTGCTCCCGCCGCCCGCTCCCGTCTCAAACACAGAGGTCTCACTCTCCGCTGAGCACGCCCGGCCTGTTAAATAGCCTGTAACAATAACAACTATGTGACACAAACTCAGTGCTTTGGTCATTAAATAATGTCGGGCTCAGTTCAGGTTTGGACAGAAATATGCGGCCCGTGCCGCACTCTAACACACACACACACACACACACAAACACACGGAAAACCGGACATTTTCATCAGTTTATAAAAATCCCCTGGACGCCCCGTACGGGACGTGAAAAGTGGACATGTCCAGGCAAAACAGGACGTTTGGTCAGCCTAGTTTCCACTAATTACTTTGACTGACCTAATGTAGCGTTAGCTTTGCAAGCGAAGGCTGCAGGTAACAGCTTTGCTGTGTTAGGATTATGTTATGTCTTCACTGTGTATCTTCACATAAAAGAATACTCCAACGATTTGGGAGTTATGCCCTTTCTCTATCATTTTCATATTGCGACAACATGATCGATATCTTTTTTGTGTCTGTACGTCCAGTGGCTGGGTCTCAGCGGTTAGCATGGCGCTTATAGGGGGTCAGTACGTCCTGCGCTGTGATCCGCGGAGGGATACACCGGTGAGCAGGCACAGACGTAGCTTGTAAACAAAACTCAGCTGTTTATTTAGCCTAGCGATATCTCCGGATTGTAGTAGCTGCGATGGACGACTTTGAACGCAATTTTGAAGAGTTTCTTGTAGCGGACACAGACCCAGAGCCGTACCTGTTTGAGCCGGAGTACACAGATGAGGAACTCCATGTGTTGGATGCTGAGCGGGCGAGAAGAGAGGCTGAATCCTCCGCTCCCATTTTGCTGCACAGAATGGGATTTGGTGCTACCATCGTTGGGGAGATATATCATCAGGAGGAAAAGCGCCACAGAGAGTGCATCACAAGGAGTGAAAACTTTGCAGCAATCACTAATCCTGGCGCAATTGAAACTTTTTTTTCATGATTCCTAAGATGAACTGGAAAAAACGCCCAGGCCTGCAGGAGCTGATGGACAGTTTTCAGTCGGGTGAGTAATATCATCCGTGTCGTCTCTTTGTTTGCTTTTACCGAGTGACCTAGCATACCTGTCCCAGAGCCAGCTGCAGCTGTTGCTCACCAGTGTATCCCTCCGCGCAAGATGTACTGACCCCCTATAAGCGCCATGCTAACCACTGAGACCCAGCCACTGGACATACAGACACAAAAAAGATATCCATCATGTTGTCTCAATATGAAAATGATAGAGAAAGGGCATAACTCCCAAATCGTCTGAGTATTCTTTTCACATAATAATGCGGACTCAGCAGATGACTTGTTAACTGTTTATTTCTCCTTACACCGAACGTACACGGCTGCTTCTCATTGTTTCCAGTAGCACAACAACGGTTACTACATTACCCAGAATAACTTGAGGCTCACACTACTACGGTAGCCTTAGTCGTTCAAAATACAACAACAGATTAGATCAGAACAGAAACACGACAGGAGAATTTACTGAGTAATTTTGTTGTTTCCACTAATTACTTGGACTGACCTGACGTTAGTCAATCCTCTCGCTCTCCAAAACAAATGCATGCATGCTGTAGATGTCATACCGCTTCGACCAAAGGGGCGCTATAATCAACGAAAACGAAAAGTTCCGCACAGCTGCTTTAAACAGGAATTGTCAGGTACTGTTCGTAAACACGCTCAACGGTGAAGGTGAAAGTAAAAGCCAACCCCAGATTGAATCTCGTTTTGACGCAAGCTGGAAAGGTTCAGTGTGTAAGATTTAAGGGGAGTCAGTGGTTTATAGCAGTGAAGTTGTAGATTGCAACCAGCTGAAACTTCGCTCGGTCAGGATTCCTTTAGTGTTCATTGTACAGGAGGTTTTCACTGAGAATCGAATTATCCATTGAAGTTTCTTCCTCTCCAAAACAAACGGACCAAGTGATTAAGACAACAGCAACAAAGCAGTTTCACGTTACAAATCAGTGTTTCTCTGAGGCTGTTTGGCATTAGCCTAGCACCTGTTAATGTGCGCTTCACTGTTTTCTCTTAAGATCCCAACATTGTGGAGGTTTTTACTGCGAGACAACTTTTCCACAGAGGTCTCTTTCTTTCTAAAACGGACAGACAAGGTGATCAAAACCGGTAAAAATTACATCACAAATTTAACATTTAGCACTCTGTATTCCTCTAAATCCTACACATTGGACCTTTAATGTCTGCTTGGAGCTTCAGCCTGCTTTATATATTTTTTGCCAGTGTTGTGTCAGCATTTTTCATAGCTTCTTCTTGGATGCCTGCTGCTTATAGTCTGACACCTGGTCGCTATCTTTTTATTAAGTCCCGACCTCCATTACGAGTTTGCTGTCTTGGTTCAGTCTATGTTGCCTCTGTGTTATTAATATTTATATTTTCATAAGTATAGGCACAACTCATAACTCTCAACTACACATTAGCCTAATGGGAGCTAGCAGCAGACAGAAGGCAAGTGATAGTTGAGCAGAGTAGCTGATGTCTCAGAGAGTAAGTAAAAAGTGCCACAAAACTAGGAGCTCTTGAGACAGTCAGTTTTGCAGCACCATTTAGACATACATAAAAATGCACCTGTAGTGTGTGTGGGTGGGTCAAACTCCAACAGTGACAGCAGGGAAGCAGCGTACCCATAAGTGACACCAAAACACAACAAAGACTCAGCATGGGCTTTTGTGACATTATTTTGTTACTCAGACATTTACTTGCCAAACTTCAAATCTTCCTGAATTCGCACTTTGAGGGTGTAAATTTTGGAACCTGCATTATATCAGTAATATAATATGAGACATTGTACTGTAAAGTTTTATGGCTCTGAGTTCTTTCCTCAGTTTTGTGATGCCTATGCATTTATATCTCTTATCTAACAAGGCATGAGCAACATTTTATATATCTTTTCTGTTTTTGTTGTTTGTAATTTATCATTGTGTCTTTGTCTTGTAGGTTTACAGGTCACATTATATTAAGTTGATTGCAGCTGTATGTAGCATTTTAGTTGAAGCCTTGGAGACAATAAAGGTTATCCAACTTGTTTTAATGAAACAGTGATAAGCTAACATTTATTACACTGTTGATTCCAGATTATGGAGACCACAGCATCAATATCCTGACTCCCAACACACCATCAACACATTACCCGGAACCTTCTCAGGAGGAGAGGGGCAATCTTATTCTGTTTTACAACCAGATCTACACGACAAAGATGCAGCACTTTGCTAAGCAGTTTGCTCCAACCTCTGTGGTAAGTGAACCATATTAAATCCCTGAATTTTGATAAACTGTCATAATGTCAGCGTCTGTATCACTGCACCTTTAAGATGGGATCTTCTAATACATGCTGTGTCCCTCTTGTGTAGAGAGACACCCCTCCTTTGTCTCCATACCCCCGACAGTACAAAGTGTCTCCTCGCAGACGGCGGCTGTCCAGCAGCCACCCCATCTTCATTTCACCGTACAATACAGAAACCACTTCCCCCCCTACTACTGGACTCTGCTACTACTTCAACACAAGCCCCCCAGAGGTCTGTGGACTTAATGTTGGAAACCTTTTTAGTGATCAAATTGTTGTCTTAAAATCATATTTTAATTTGTGCACAGTGTGGACTGAAGATATTAGATATACATCTTCATTCTGTGCACTTTGACCAGAGCTAAATTACTGATTTCATCATGACTGAATGACTGACAGTTAAATATTGCTAAAAATATCCCTCCTATTACTACAGCGTCTGCGTGAGATCAATAACATGATCAGGACTGGGAGGTCACCCAACAGGCGACACTATGTTGTACCATTGGACAGAGAAGAGGATGAGCAGGGAGACGGGGAGGAAGAGGATAATGGTCCTCCAGCGAGGAGGATTCGTTTGGATGGTCAGTCTGCCTGGCAGAGACGACTCAGGAATGTAGTCAATGATCGCGTGACAAGAAGGGACCAGGACCAGGACCAACCATCTCCAGTCATAAGGCCTAACCTGCACTAAAGCAGAGAGGAGCATGACGTCTCACTTTGCTCCTGTTTCAGAGGCTGCAACAATGTCAGGTGTTGGAGATAAAGCACAGAGCAGCGTTTTCCTCCTTTTCCATCCTTTTATTGTTAAGAAAAACTTTGGGCCAAATTCTTTGTCAGCTCAAAGTCTTGTCTCCTGTCTGAGATAAAATTATGGTTAAAAAAAAAAAAGTAGAAATAAATTTGAAGTGCAGAAGTTACAGCAGCATCAAACTATATTCAATGGTACTTGAGGTATACAGACAGGTTTTAAAAACTAACCAAAAAAGTTTTTACATCACATTATTACCAGGGTTTTTCCCGGGTTTTTAGGACTTTGGTGTCACATTTTTATATGATTTTGAACCATTGACAATAAGCTCACATATATGAAAAAAGTTAACTCTGAAAATGGAAGTGAAATAAATGAATCATAATACAATTATGTTGAAAGAAATAACAATATAGTAATAAACATCCTTATATTATACTTTTCCAAATCTAGTTACAACAGACATTATAAAATGAAATTTAAGGACTTTTAAGTACTTTTTTAAGTACTTTTTTTTTTGTTCTCAAGCACTTCACTCAAAGCAAACGATTTATTTTCAAATATAAATTTTTATCAAACATAAAATAAGGATGTGATCAATGTGTTTTCAGTGAAGGGTTACTTATCACACATTACCAAGAAGGGAAAGATCATCTTTCAAATACAACCATTTGAAAGTAGCAAAAAGAATCGATGCCAGCTGGAACTTAAGTTTTAACTTTCAATTTTTGGCGGAGCTACTGGCACATGGATGAAGAGAGAAGGTAAAGAAATTACAAGAAAAAGCCGGCTCATGAAGTTCAAGGTCTAGTGTGTATGATAAAGGGGAAAATAGTTATAATAATAGTAATAAATTTAATTTATATAGCACCTTTTATACATGCAGCACAAAGTGCAAAAGGGAATTACATGCACTACGTGCTTCATTTGAAAATAGAGAGAATAAAACAGGCCAACAAGGCAATGCATTATGAACTGACACTTAAATACAATTATAAAGAAAAAACAAATATGAAAATAGAGTACACAGAAAGCATTACAGCTCAATATCAGCTAATTTATAAATCATAAAGTACAATACAAAAATTTCAAAAGAACTGCAGCAGTTTGAAGTGTAAAGTGTAAAAACAAAGCCTTCCAGGCCTGTATCAGGAAAGTCATAAATGCTTAATTGAAGAAAAATGTTGTTAGCTTTTGTTTAAAATATTTAGTGAGCTGGCTTTCCTGATGTCTATAGGCAGTGTGTTCCACAGCTTTGGGGTGCAGTGCATAAAGGTTAGATCCCCAATTTTCTTTTAGCTGTTGCTGGGAACCTCCAATAAACCAGCAGCAGATGATTGCAGTGTTTTTGAAGCCAAATAGTTAACAAGGAAGTTAGCAATATAGCACGTTTCTTGCCCATTTAGGGATTTGTATATAAGAATATATTGGCAGGAATGGAATATAATATAATAAGTGTGTTTTCTTAGGTGTATAATCACCTGAAAATAAGAATTGTGTTTCGTTGACTTAAAATAAGCTGTTCTATCTACCTACTAAGGGGGTCTTTTCCATGGAGTCCGCCATGTTGTTTCTACAGTATTCCAGAACAGACAAACCAAAGACTTGCTCAGATAGGGCCATTGAAGTTTTTTGCATCGACTACTGTAGTTCTTCTGCATCGCCCATACTGTGTGTCAACTCGTCCAGATGCTCTGCACAGCTTGTTTTATGCTCATAAGGCTTAAACATGACATAAAAATATTTAGGCAGTGCGCCCAAGCTGTATAATGGCAGGGAAAACCCTGATTATTAACAGTACAGGATTTGTCTATGTCTGAGTAATGAACTCATTTGCCACTCTCATTTTGTATATCTGCACCTCTGCTTTCCTTAAACTCGTAGTGCCCTTATGCAAACACCCAGCCATTGCTGCTTGCTTCTTTATGTTGCCACACAGAGAAGGGTTTCCTTAGGGGTGGGAGGTATACCAGTTTTGTAACAGTCACCGGTGTCACATTTTGCCAAGACATGGATTTTGCAATACTGTCATTACCGTGATAAATATTTAATCATATTGAAAATGTGCCGTACTGTGGCTTTGATAACACGCAGGTAGAAGGCTACGTACTCATAGAACTTAAGTTACATTCAGTAACCACGAGTGTCCTTGCTGACGCCAGCTCCAGTAACACAAGACGTGGAAGGTACGAGCAAAGCACGCCTATTTCTCTTATGCTGGCTGCAAGAACCAACACAAAAGCCTCCATCTACTCCCACCATCCCAGGAAATGAAGATCCAGAAGATTCACTTCATTTTTTAGTGGAAATGTCCCCACAACAACTGGAAAACTCAAAACGTGTGCAGAAACTATTTTACTTCAGACTGCTTATTCAACAAGGGCCAATAACGTAAAGAGCAGTATTTGCTTCAAAAATGGAGCTTAATGATGGGACGATACGGACTTCAAACTCACCTCATGATCGCCGCTGATATGTGTGTGCTGCTTCCATATGTAAATGTACTTGATAGGTATACCCTGTGGTACACTGACTGTCATAGAATATATTTTGGGTTTCCTGCCAAATAAATGTTGTTAAGATGCCTAATTCCACCCCTTGTGTAACCCAGAGAAGTAATCACATTACATTTAATAATAAACCTACATTGGGCAGACAGCTCCTCCCAAAACACATGTAGGGCTTTTATTAATTCTTTACTTATTAAGATATAAATGTACTTACATTGCCAACAGACTGAAAAGAAATCAGCACATTTTTGTAACAATGTGATAGCATACTGACACTATTAAAAAAAAACTTTCAAAAGTTGACTCAGCATTAAACACAAGTAACCAATGACTAATATGCAAAAGGAATGACAAAACACATTACTGCTGTACTGCAAGGTTTTCTTTCTATTTTCATATTGTTGGGAATAGAATGATTTTATGTGTTTTACTATAAGTTGTGTTTCACTATATAAGTTTTAGATGTGTGAACAATGAGAATACTGAGATGATTTCAGCTGATCTGAATGTGTTTGCTTTGCAGAAGTGGAGAAGTACAGGAGAGGAAGAGACATGAAGTCTGAGGAGCACATACCGCAATGCTTAGATAATTAGTTTCATATATGGTAAAAAGAATAGAAAGTGATATACAGATAGTAAGGTACAGCACGTGTAGGGAGTTGTGTTGTTCTCTTGTCTTTCAAAACAGGAACCACGCCCCCACCGCCAGCGGGAAGGAGTCAGATTAACACGAGGCAGGGGCGTGGTGTGGTGAAGGAGGAAGTGGAACTGCCAATGAGAAGAGGACAACGCCTTGCGTGCACAATGACACTCTGTTACGCTCAAATATACTGGGTCAGGGAAAGGACAGGAGGTCAGACTTCGTGAACTGACACACCTTTGTTGTTCGTCAGGGACGTGAAGTTGAGACCCAGAGCTCTGTAATTTTATTCCTTTACTGCTTAATAAACTACATTAACTGAGACCGAATATCTTCTCCTATTGTTTCATTAAAGAACACGCAGGACTGAGCTCACACATAGCACATTGGAGAGTAGGATGAGACTCTTAGTCCATCAATTGGTGACCCCGACGTGATGAAGCCGGAGGAGTGACGGGACAAAAGACATTCAACAGCGGAGGACAGCAGTATCGTGACAACACTTGCCGCGGCCTAAAAAGAAGGTAAGCAGACGCCTGTTTTATCAAAGTTCTGCAATTGGAAACACTAAAACTTATGTTGTCATTGTACTAAAGTCTCCTAGTCTAAAATGTAAAGGAATAAAATTAAAACAAAACACAAAAGTGAAATGCCCCGGGGCAGGGTGAAAGGCCCTGGAGCAAATCATAAATTTGACTCCTAAATACGAAACATAGTCAACACCTCGACAGGACAGGGTGAAAGGCCCTGGAGCAAATCATAAATTTGACTCCTAAATATGAAACATAGTCGGGTGTAAGGCCCTGGAGCAAATCATAAATTTGACTCCTAAATATGAAACATAGTCGGGTGAAAAGCCCTGAGATTAGGTTTTCCATCTAATCTCTAAAAAAGAAAAAGACGAGTGTCCTGAGGTGGATAAGCTCGGGGGGGAACCCATAAGGTTGCTCCTTGGACAGCTGAGAATATAGTCTGAAGACACGGGTTGTCTGAGGTTGAAAGACCTTTGTGTAGATTGTTACAACACAAAAAAGAGGTTACAGAGTTCTGCGGGCAGGGGAGCGTTTTCCATGTGATCCCTAACACTGAATACTATCGCTCATGTTGAGACATCTATTCAATGGTCCGCAGAACCACCCTGATATTGGGAGTGTAAATAAATAAGTCTTTTAAGGGGTTATTGTTTTGTGGGTGGCTTACCGACAACCAGCTATTTTTACGGGGCGAGAGAGTTGTGTAGAGTCTATTAGAGGTGACTCAAATTCCTGCTCTCTCAGTGCCTGAGCGGTGGTCGTGTTCTGTGGGGAAGAAAAAGAGGAAGCTGTGTAATTTTGCCTTAAGATAGAAGCTAGTTGTCGCCGAGCCATAGGCATCCCGCACCCTCCTAGGAGAGTGGTGTAGAAGCTTGGATGTGTCGGCCTGCAACTGGTGGAACTTAAGCAGCGAAATCACAGCGATAAAAGGGGAATAATAAGCCCGCGTGAACTGCATTGTAGAGCGGTCACGTGGCACAAAGCATTGTGTACAGTTTTGTTTTTTGAATAATAAGCCCGCGTGTACTGCATTGTAGAGCGGTCACTTGGCACAAAGCATTGTGTATAGTTTTGTTTTGTTTTTGTTTTTTATTGTGTGCAGCAGTACCTTACTGGTAGAAACAAGTCAGAGCGGAAGAGGGACAGAGAAACGTGATGATCGGCGAATTCGACAGGGACTGTCGCGAGCAGGGAGGCTGCCCTCCCATGCTGGTAAAAACTCAGTTTAGGGAAATTAGAAAACAGTTGTTGTCAGGAGTAGAGGATAAGCGGAGACAGGAAGTTGGTAGAGAGTTTGATGAGCTGTGGAAGGCATTACAGGCACAAGGTGAGTTGCCTGGGGATGATGAGGAGGGAAATGTCACAAAGAAATTGCAGGCTGCAGAAGTAAAAGCACAAAATGATGTGGAAGAACACGCTAAAAAGGAGAATGAACCTAAATTTATAAAGAGAAAATGGAAAAATCAGAAAGAAATGAAGGAGCGCAAACGAGCTCTGCTCCATCAGATGGCAGTTACAGCCATGGCCTATTGGAAAAACACAGACAAAAGTCACAAAAAACAAAACAGAGATAAGCAACCTCTGTCTGCTCCTGCAAAGGATCCAGCCTCACCCCCACCAGAGCCCACCTCTAATAGGTTGTATCCTGAGCTACCCCAAACACCCACAGCTTCAATTCCCCCACCA